GTTGTTGTTTGTGATTAAATAAGGAGCTTTAAATATTTTACAGACAACAACGCGGCGGCGTGAAAACAATGCTCGCATTCATGCTTAGGTGCTTCATAAGTTGCGCTTTCCATTTGTGTAATTCCATTGGTTTATGATAATTGTCTTTAACTTTAGTAAGAAAAGAGATTATTTGATTATATTTTTTTAGGTTCCTAACACTTTTCAAAGAACTTGTGAATTCGCACAGCAGTGGACAAATGCTCAGCGAAAATGTACAGAACAACACAAATGAAACAAAGGTGATGGGGAATTTAAGTATGTTTCATATTTCCAATATCCCGTCATGAGCTCCAGAGACTCTTTATTATTAAGTTTTTACAATTTTTATTAATTTAAATAGTGGATGAAAACGCAGCTTCGCTATAGAGGCACCGTGTGCCTCTACAGTGCGTGACGGGTTAACAATTTTACATGAGTACAAGTTACTGTTTAATGCAATTTAAATGAGTGTAATAAGAATAAAGAATATTATGATAATTTATTGTTGAAACTTGTTAACCTTGTTAAACTTGTTGTTATTTATTTTTATCGAGACTGGCTGGGTTAGGTGATAAACAAAAAAAAATTAAAGTGTACGTGAAAAGATGGTGGTTTTCTTTTTTTTTGTGATACTAAGTTACAAGACGATCAAGTTGATCGACTGACCGATAGATTAATTATCACATTAAATACAAAAAAACATTTCACATTGTTTTTTCAAAATTGAAAACGGGCAGCCATAATAAACATTCTCAGGTCAAATTAAAAATGGTCTGATAAAGGCTGGAGTGCGTAAATGATAGTAGAGAATAAGAGGACTTACATAAGAAGAATAACGACTACAAGTGAAGCAAAACAAATTTGTCAGTCATGAAAGATTGTTTTTAAAAAAAATAATAATAACGCACACACTCAATATGGCCCCGCACTAGAGAAACCCTGTGTCGCGGGTGCCGTGGACACACACATAGACAACCACAAATTACACCCAAACTCACGAGAGAAACAAATATTTCTCCCGGTCCGGGAATCGAACCCGGGACCTCTGCGTGGCAGTCCAGCGTGGTAACCATTCGGCCACGGAGGCAGTTAAAGCAGTTAAAAAGTGGCAATTGTCAGTCTCTATTGCCTCCAATGAAAAATGAAAAAAAAAAACCAAATATAATTATGCGGTTTAACTCCAGAAAAATAGTTTCATTTCCCATAATACCTACTCTGTTTTCTTCTTATCGAATTTATAAACGGCACTCAATGCTTCGTCTGGTTTATACACAACCAAAAACTCCTCATCCTTTTGAGATTCCTTCGTCAGTATAACATCATATGTGTTCTTAAACTGTTTCTGTACACCTCTATTCAAGTTGTACTGTTTTGGCATCTTTTTCTCTCTATACCGTGGTAAGATGGAACGGTAGGTTTCCATTTTCGTCTCCCCTTTGTCTGTTTCTACATAAATTTTACTCCATACTGATGTTTCTACCTTCCCTGTAAAGAATGGGTATAAGTTTGAGCCATGCTCTAACTGTAAGGGGCATTGCATACTCATAGTACTTAGTTGAAGACAGAAACATTATTTTCATTATACTTATCATTAACTTGTAAAAACAACAATGATTTTGTATTACCATCTTAATGTATTTGATAAAGTTGTTAAAAGAAACAGAGTATGAATTGCATGGAATATATAAATCTTTTATTTTTTTTAATGTAGAGACTTATTGAATCTAAGCAAATGTTGAATATTAGATTAGTTGGAAAGACCAAGAGGAAAAAGTATATATATTTCGAATAAAAAAAAAACTTTAATTTCAAATTGGATTTAAAAGTTGCAAACTAAGCAAAAAAATGATTAATGTGAAATGTCAATCTCAAATTAAAGACGTACGTCAGTTTTAGGTAAACATCGATTCAACATGACGTGTACATACTCTTACCGGCATTGCGACCGCCTGGTGCGGCCTAAACGTAACAATTACTATGTTTAGGCCGTGACAGGTAAAAATGCTCAGCACTAAACACAATCCCAAACCAGAGCCAAATAATGAAATATCGCGAAAAAAATTATATACGTAAACAAATGAGACCGAAAACAGTCACATAAGCCAAAGTCATATTTTGAACATTTTTGAAAATTTTAGACGGGGAAGAACTTGTTAAGATTTTGTGACAGGTTTGTATGTGTCTCTTATAAAAAATTAATCTTCTGGGTTTAGACTATGGCCCGCCACACTGGCCAAATGTGGGTTGTTCACTTCACATGTTTTTCAAAGATTGTGAACTCCCTTCAAAATGCAGGAAGTTAGCAAAAGGTATTAATATTAATACCTACATGTTTCCAGAAATAATCAGCATTTCAGCATAAAACGTAATTCTTGAAAAAAGGACAAACAAACAGAACACCCAAAGAAGCTCTTAGATAACTATGATGGTAAATTATTGCTGGGCCATTCCAAAGTGACAGGTGGGACATTTTGACTCCTTTTTTCTTGAATTTTATGTAATTTCTCCCTAACCATTGGTTAATTAGACTTAAAATGAAAATATCATGAAGCCAGATATGCAATTCAACTGCGACTATTTATTTACATAAATTTATGACATTATTTATACTCAAAACTTTTAAATTCTAAGTGTGATGGGTGGGACACTCATGACACCTGCCTGTTTGAGTTGGTGGCTTCATTGCCAAGATCAAGACAAACCATTAATATTTTGTTCAGCAAGTTTTTCATATAAGATAACTTGAATGTTAAATTCGAATTTATATATACACTTAATTAATAACTTTGATAAATTTTAAGGAAATGAATATGTTAAGTTGTGACCGGTGGGACGAGTTACAATTGAATACACAGAGTTAATAAAATTACACATTTTAATGCGAGATACATTGTTAGTAAGCAAATATTTTATAATTATTGTGTTATGAAGACATTTTAGCTTAAAAAAAAAAAACAGAATTAAAGAATTGATAAAGAAATCCCATTATTTTTCTTGAAGCACTATCTATGATGACATGAAATCAAAGTCATGCATGTAAAATGCGTTAATAAATTTGAAAAATCCTGCCGCATCCTTGAAGAAGAAGAGATCATATCAAAATATATCGAATTTTAGAAGTTTTTGAATATATAGTTAAAACTAGTGGAGACAGACTTTTCATGAATTTCCTGGTACGAAAAATCATCAGGAAAAATGTTGTCACTTTTTAATTGTCTTTTTTACGCGTTATAATGTGTTACTTATGAGAAGAATTATAAAAAATGTGCTTACATATGATGGATCTACATATAAACAGTGTATTTTTAAAAATTCCATGTATTCAAATGTAACTTGTCCCACCTGTCACTAAATAGTGTCGCAATTGTCACAATTTAACACATCAAATGTAAAAACTTCAATCCATGAAAATACAATTATTTATTCAAAATAAAAACGTTTAGAAGTGTGTCCCATCCATCACTGTGATTTGTGGGACACACTTTCAAATCTTAATATTTACATTCCTATTTATGTCCACAATGACCAACCAAGCCAAAATAATGACCCTCAGCATAATTGTTACTTTTACAAAAACAAATGCCAATAGATTGTATATTTATTGGTTAAAATAAAAATATGTATGTATCATTGTGACGGGTGGAACATGAAATGTGTATTTATTGAAACTTTAATACCTCTATCAATAAAATAAAATCACTTATCACCATTTTAAAATTCATAAATTGTATTTTCTTGGATAGAACTTTTTTAGAAAGATGCACAAATAATCGTGAAAATTGTTATTAACATTACAAGAAAAAATGATTCACTATAGTCGAGAGCACTATGGCTGCATTAATGAACACAAAAAATACAATATCCAAAAAATCTAATTTATTTCTAATTATTTGATTTATTGGGAGTATTCTAGTTATACAATTAAAACCAAATTGTGTAATTTATTTTTTTCTACCGCAGTGTCATTTTCGCTGGAATGACTCTGCTGCCACTGTCAAAAACTAAGTCTTTTTTTACTGATCATCAAATATGTTCATTTGTCAATTCATGTAAATAAAGATCTTTTTTTAAATGTAATAAACTTGATTCATGGCCAAGAACTGGAAGTCCTGCATATGAGTAGACGACATTGTCAAAGTTTGTCTTGTACATAAATGGATGAGATTAGTGCAAGATCATGGTGGATGGCACAAATTACAGGGCTGTACCTAGCAGTGAGTAAAGACGGGCTGTGAACAATTATGACTATGAAGATACTTACCGTCAATCCTATTTCTACTATTACTAAGTACAACAGTTCTCTTCGAAGAGTTGATTTTTCCACGAGTCTCCAAAGCTTCATTACCCTTTGTAAGATAACTTAGACATAGATTATTCCAGCTTTTCAGTTTCTTTAACTCGGCGTTATCCTTCAAAAAAGCCCGAACGGGCAGACATAGTGGATCTTCAAAATCGGGTATTCTAATATCAAGTTTCTTGCGTTCCTTTAGCATTTCTTCAGTTGTTTTTGTAACAGGACGGGGAACAGGACGCACTTCCTTCACTTTTATCATCTTGGACGCAGTTTTTTTCTGAATTGCGTGCAGCCCTTGTTCAAGCACTCTGCTGTACGTTTTAAGAGGTTTTTGCACATTTTCTGCATTATTTCTTACGTAGAAGGATACTTGTTGTGAATCAATTTTAATGATTCTTTTCGGCGGCTTTTTTATTATCTTTTTCTTTTTAAGTTGCAACATATCGTCTCTGGGATCATAGTCGGAATCTTCCTCTTCAGTTTTGTTCCGTCTTTTGACTGCGGAATGGTCGAATTTTCGTTCGACAAGCAAATCGTCGTTAGATTCGCTGTCTAAACTTTCAACTTTCGCTTTATCAGGAACAGGCGTTGTTTGAACGATTTGCATGCACTGTTGAACCAATTCCTCATCCTCGTCCAGGTATTCAATCTCACATTCGTCTCCAGCCATTATTTTACACAATTTCAGCACCTATATTGCGCTGACAATTATTTGTTTTCTTCTTAGTTAATTCATACGTAGTATCTCTTCTTCTTCTTTTAAATGTTATATTAGTTTGTGGTTAATTCAATAAACAAAACACCAGCAAAAAAGTAAGGTTATGTTATACATTTTTTTTTTAATTTATTAAGGTTTTGGCAAAGCCATTAGCCTAAACATGAAGTTTAATTATGTTTCTGTAAATGGCCGTCACAAAGAGGATAGGCAATTTGAGACGGCGTGCTTGGATTGACTCGGGATTCTTTAAAACGGGCCGATACGGGTATTCTAGTTCGAGATTCGTATAATTTCGCGTTTTAATCTTCGATTAAGGCACCATAGCACTATCCTATTCCACTTTTAACTAGATTTCACTAAATAATTGAAAATCAAAATAAAAACGAAACTTTTCCCTCCAAAAGGCCCAGCGAATCTTTTTTTTAATATTAATGGCTTCATACTAGATAAGTTTTGCTTTTATAAGATAAGCTTTGTGGTGGGCATATTTACGGAAACATAATTAAACGAAGACATGGCTCAAGGGCTTGTATCCAAACCAAAATTATTAATAAAAAAAAATATTGAAAAAAATGCCTACCATGGACAATAAAAAAAAATTGTTGTCATTTGTCAACATGTCGGACAAGTGAGTATTATTTTTCCCTTATTTTATTGAATTTTACGTAATAACATTCGATTTTCTACACAAATCTACTTTAACATCGTACAAAATTGTATAAAACGTTATGACATTTCATATGTTCATGGAATATGCTAATTTCTGGTTGAAAAACGTGATATGAAATCCTAGTGTCCACGCGTTTTCATTATTTTACTATTTTTTTTTCTTACAGTGAAGACTTGTTGGGCGACGATCTTGGCGATCAGAGCCTGGCAGATTATAACCTCGGTAACGAGGAGGAGGAACAACTTTTAGCCGATGATTATGAGAGTGGAGCGTCGCAAAATGTGCCATCATCCATTTCAAGCTATGATGGCGTCGTCGGCAATATTTACTCGGGAAACGACGTTCCCAGCCAGGTACGTGTAATATTGAAGATTCAAAACCGTGTTGTATCCACAGTGTTGAGACCCTTTGTGGTTTTCTTGACTGTGCTATGGTGATCTTGCTGGGGCCTATGTTTGACTAGGTGGACACAATAGGCTTATTAGCGTCGCTAGTCGTCACTAGACATAGTATAATAAGATTAGTAGCAGTAGAGCTCCTTGTGTAAGAGTTCATCCAGGTTATTACTGCCACCTTACCTATTTCAAATTAATATTAATATTTTAATAGAAAATCAAGCATTACTTATGTCAGCATTACTGCGTTCCAGTTTTAAAGGGTAAAGGTGCTGGTGAAATTACAGGCACATGGGACTTGTCAACTTATGCCTCATAGTGACGGGAGTGGTGGTAGTGCCCTTCAGATCTTTGCAATTTAAAGCTCTGAGTGGCACTGCAACTGTAATGGATATGCGTGTAGCTCACCGTCAGGCGCACAACTAGTTCGTCCCCTCACTTGATGTTATTAAAGAAAAAGACACCTCTACACCAAATCCGCTGGTGGTCACTGCTCGGCAAACTCATGCTCTTACTGAAGAAGATCAAAACAATTGAAGCCAAGAAAACACTTCTCATATTTTAATACTGTTGCTTTAGATCACAGGGTCCCAAACTTTTTGGCTTACTGGGGGGTAAGCCAAATTTAGGCAGGATAAAAAATTTCAATGCCCACCACCACAAAAATTAATTGAAAACATGTCTTTTTTTGTTTTTTACATGTATTTTGAAAAAAAATTATATACAGTGTAGTTTTAGTTAGTTAGTTTAGTTGGTATGTATGTAGTATAGTTTATATAGATCATTGAAGTTTTTTCAAATGTGGTAAAGTGTTACCACAAGCTGGACCGCATCAACACTCCCCAGTTGAGCGCAGGGGTGGTAGGGACCCCCTAGGACTTCAGCACCCACTGTGGGGCACTATGGACCACTTTGGGAAACTGAGATTCAGAGTTGTATTTAGTGAACAGATTACAATTAGGAAGAGCTTGTGCCTTGATAGAACCCACCCTAATAACGTACTCATCAACTCTGGCATGGAGGATTCAGAAATGTCTGGAGAATATTTCACTGAATTGAAATAACTAAATATTTTTCCAGCAACCAATCCAGTACCATCTCCAACCGGACAGAGGTGGAGAATGTGTGGTACCCAACATAACAGTGGAAATACCAAACATACAGCCTGAACACTCTACTTATGCACCGTATGAACCACCACCAGTGTATGATCCTGAACCTCGGATTGTACCACCCGCTATAGTAAGTAATTACAAAAGGTGTCAAATTAATTTTATATATTATACTACAAATTTAAAATATAGTATCCGACCCATTGACCTACCAACAAATGGACATCGGGTCTAATACAAAAACCACGAAAAGAATGTCCAAGGGTAACCTATACAAATGTAGTGACATGTAACGAAATATAAAAAACTAAAACATTTAATTTAAATTGTAACATCATTGCAGTACTGCCTAAATTTGCTTACAACAATTGAAGGGCCTAAAAACACCATATTCAGCTTCTACTGGAAACTTCACAAAATGCACCATATTTAGCTTTGACTGAAAATTACTTGAACACAAGAGTAATGGAATGGCCTTTCTCGTAAATATTAATTAATTTTTTTATATATATTATTATGTCGAATTTTGTACAAATTCACTTAAAGGTATAATAAAGAGTTGGGCAGATACATACATACAAATATTACTACAAATGTGAAAATAAGCGTGTACTATAAGAAAAGCACCGATATTCTAACTAAACGTAAACTCAAATATCCGTAATTCCGATTTATAACAAAACCGTTACGCTTTCGAGTAATTTTGATGCTTTTTATATAGACAAAATTAGCTTTTGTTTTGTAATCTTTGTAAGCGCATTATGAAAATTCGAGCTAATGTTATTTCGGGCAAATGTATTTTCTGACTTTTGATAAGTAATCCCATGCCGTAAAACGAGTACAACAATATTTTGTTAGTTATTGCTAACGTTTAATAAAAAAATTATTTTAAAAATTAGGATTGAAATCAAAGCTACTCTATAGTTTCTTTGTTCTAAATATTTCAATCGCTTGTGGTTCGACCAATTGAAAATCACCAAGAAGTTTATATAAGCTTCTTGAAACGGACGTAATGGGTCTCTTTCCATCTTTTGCGCATGCATTGAGTAGAAAATTTTAATTGGCATCTGTTTGATCTTACTTAAATCTATATTGTAAAAGTAGCTGTAAGCTCCCCAAATATAATAAAATAAAAATAAATAAAAAGGACAGTTAGCTATTTCATTATTTCGTGTGCTTTTGTAATTTATATTTACGATTCAGTTATATATAAATTAAATACTATAAAACTGTACAAAATAACACTTTTAAATGACACAACTATGACAACACAATATATTTGTTCAGTGAAAATATGATACAAAATCCTGTTTTCACACTTTACTGCAGTAATTTTTACAAGTTATTATTATTGGTACTGCATGATTGACAAACGCGCTGTCACTCGAACAAATGAAGACTGTTGCGCGATTGACGCACTTTATGCGATTTTAACGCCCTACAGGTACGGACACTTTTTAGCGCGAACCTGACGTCCATTTATTGGTAGGTCAATGGTCCGACCACTGTGCACTAAATAAAATTGAAAATAAGTTGGAAGTGACAATTGCAAATTATATGACTTAATAATACTTGTATGTAAAACTTGTGTATTCTATGTGTATAATGCTATTTGAAGCATTATGTATATGTATAATATATTAATATATAATGAAACCATCATTGTGAATAGAGCTTTAGGATAATAGCCATTATTCATTGTGACAGCACTTCCCCAGTAAAAAAAAACGAAAGTGGTGTTATAGTGCCTTATGAATATTGTCCATGCCACAGCCCACAATTGCGCTTTTTGTAAATGGACCGTACATATTTTATGTCATTACAAATCATAGGAGAGTTTAATTATGCCGCACTGTAGCCACTTCCACATCCCTGTTTTCTTTGTATGAGAAGTTATTACTACTCACACTGCATGTGTAAGGATTCTTGAACAAATTTCTCAAATTTCCTCAGAAATTTGTTAATTTTCAAAGTAATACAGTTGTATTTCACTGTCACTCCAATGCAATACAGGTTGTAACACAATGGTGACCATATTTTGGCTAGTGATCTCATTTATGATAACAAATAGTTATCAAAACTTGATTCCCAAAATAAGTACAAATAAAATTTTGATAAAATCAAATAGTCAGATGTTTGTTATCCCTCATACTAGCAGATATCTTAAATAGCTAGATGATAAATAAAACAAAAATTATAAAATTGAAATTGTCTCCATGGCCGAACGGTTACCATTGCCACTGCCACGTAGAACCCCAGGTTTGATTCCCGGGCCGGGACAAATATTTGTACGGCCTACATTTATTTCTCTCATGAGTTTGGATGTAATTTGCGGTTGCCTATGCGTGTGTCCATGGCACCGTGACACAGGGCTTCCCTAGTGCGGGGCTATGTTGAGTGTGTGCATTATTATTATTTATTTATTTATTTAAAAACAAAATTCAAGTAGTAATAAAGTCTGTTTTAATTTCAGCCTGCATCACCCGTAGAATCTCCACAAATTGTTCCATCTGACATGGGACCATCAATGTCAAGTAAGTTTTTTGTTACGACTTAATTACTGTTGTTTCTAGAAATACTTCAGTTTCATTATTTACTGTATTGCTCAGAGGTGTAGCTCTGCTCCATAAAGAAGAGAGTTGTAGGATATATATATAATCTGTCTTTCCTAAAGATGGTGCAGGGTTGCCAGTTATTGTAAAATTTTAAGTAGACATGTAGTTTTCGACAATTTTATCAGTGGATAGTGAAAGTAGGTAAAATTTTGCCAAAAACTTTAAACTTTAATTGTAAATGTTACGATGGTCTAATGATGACTAATTGCGTTATTGTATTTAGTCATACACATTTTAATAACGACAGGCGGACTTGATTTATATTAAAGTCAAATGAAAAATTTAAAAAAATGTCTCCTATTTGTATTTTAACCGACTTTAAATAAGGAGGAGGTTCTCAATTTGAATGTATTTTTTTATATATGTTATTCGATAACGATTTGTGAGCCGATTTTGATGATCCTTCTTTGTTGTAAAGAGGATACCTCAGTATTGGTCCCATTTAAATTTGAAGAAAATATCACACCTCTAAGGGTGGCAAACTAGGGGATGAATCCGGTTTCGCGTACTTTCCGTTAAGCGATTCCATTAAAACTTCGCAGATAGAAGTGATTCTACTAACTTTTAAGGACGGTTTTTTTACTACTCTGTACTGAAATATTCGTATACTGAGAAATTTAGTGTATGTATGTATGAATTTTCAAAAATGAACAATTGAAATGAACCTATGCCTAGCAGTTGGAAGAATAATTGGCCGATTGTCGATGATTGATGATTCAAATAAAACAAGCGCGGCTATTTATTTCATAAGAATAACCAACAGTCGACAGTCAATATGATAATAACAATAATAATGTATTTATGTCCGAGCGTTAGTTCACAGCAAAAACATTAAATCTAAGATAAGGTTAGAACATTACAAGATATATTCCCTAACTCACAAAGTAGGATAACCTGAGACATGAGACCCAGTAGTCCTCCATGTCTTAATTAATATTTATCAACTGCAAACACTAGCTGCTTGCAAGACAATAATCATTTTACACCATCTTAAAAGAAAAATAGTTAAAAAAACGTTTGCAGACTCAAATTACTGTATATATATATAGATTATCAAAGTAAATCTGATTAGATTTACATATCAGTAGTCGTTTTAATTGTTTTTTCATAATGTCTAAAGAAGGAATTATAAGTCTGTTGTTTCTTTTGGTTTAGATGGCGAAATGTGCCGCTCCCGCTTCGTGTCGGAGCGTCCGCCCGGTGCGCAGAGGCAGCCACAGGTCAGGGACATTCCCGACTCATTGGGTAAGTCGTCATGCTGTACTATCTATATGCTATGACAAATATTGCGGAAATTATGCCGCTTAAAAAAAAACTTCAAATGGTCTCTAAACTAGGAAATATCCAGTGTAACGAATTTTAAGCCTGAACTGATTTGAAATGTTAAATCTGAATCCGAATTATTATTTTATTTAACCTTCCAGCGGTCGCGCGCGGTGTCAAAGACCGCAGCGACCTTATTTTAGTCTTATAAACAATAGACCGTTGTGCGACCTTGATATCCTCGAGGGAGTGCGGTACTTCCCCTTAGTAGCCCTGTGACATTCGTCTCAAGCGCACATGTGCTTTTATTTGTGTTTGCGGTCTCAAAATACGCGCGCGACCGGTCGTGTTCCAAAAAAATTTTATGATAATTTAATATGATTATTATGATAATTATGATTGATCTCGATAATAATTTATAATAGTGTGCATATTAACGATTAAGATAGAAAATTTCGTCTTGTTTTGTAAATTTGTTGTTTTGTTCTAATATGACAATTTTTTTTTATTTATATGAGTTATATTTATTTTTTTATTAAAAGAGTTCTTTTTATCACGTGCTAACACAACGTCGTCATGAAAATATTCAGTGTGTCTTATCAAACTAAACGCGTAAAATTGCGGTCTCACAGACCGCACGCGACGGACGGATGCGACCACCGGAAGGTTAAGCGACCCCTGAACCAATAGATCTATATTTGTGTTTAGACAAAGTGTTCGTGCCGCGCGGTCAGTTCGGCGGCCGCGGTCGCACATCGTGGCGCAGTCCGCATTTCAACCAGCGCTTCCATCACAACCAGTACAGAAGAAATAATATGCATAGAGTGAGTAGTCTTCTTTTAGTCACTAACGTTTTTGCCAGTACAACTCGTAAGCTCAAGAAAGAAAGAGAAACTCCATTTCTTACTTGTGATTTTTAAGTTAATACCTTTTTCGCATGGGAAGAAGAAAATCCTCAAGGGTGCCATAGATCCGGGTCAGATGGTGTGCTCAAACTCACTGGGACATTGTCGACACATTAGACCCCAGTGTCTGATAACTAAATTCAGAAAACACGTCTGGACAAGAGAGAATTTCCTAGCATAAGTTAATCAAGTGAAATGTGGTTGATTCTGTATCTTACATTTATTTACTTTTTATATACTTTCAGGGCAATTTCAACCAGCGCCCATCTTTCCCGCCATCTCAACCAATACGCCAGACTCCTCAAATGCGCCCTGAAATAAGGCCGAGTCTACCACCAATGCGTCCAGAACTCAGACCAGAAATTATACCAGACATCCGGCCCAACATACACCCAGAATTACGGCCCGATGTACACCCAGAATTACCACTTATCCGACCAGATATGTCACTAGACTTACACGAACCGATGGTGTTACCACCAAAAATACCAGAAGATTTACTCCCAGAACGTCCTATCCTTCCCAATGTCCCTATTGATCCTTTCACACCTATAGATATACGTCCTAATTTTCCTAGATTTCCCAACCAATTCCGCCCTAATATGGATCCACACCCAGAATTTGGTCCAAACATCAGACCGAACTTTGAACCCAGACCAATGTTCCCCTTTCAAAGACAGTTTAGACCGTTTATAAGGGAACCAGTTCCTGGTCCAATACCGAGTCATATTCCTCAAGTGACGATAAGGCAGCCTGGTCCGATGGGTGGCCCGATGACGAGGGAAGCCGAAGTGAGAATGTTGCCAGTGCAACTGCCCCCTAATTTGCCTCCTGGTGGTCTTCAAGGGAAGAAAGTGCTGATTAATCCTCATTTTAAAGGAAACTTTCAGTCGCCAGTTGAAGGTAAGATTTTTAAATGAAATTAACAACGAAATTTTGGAATTAAGTTAAGCTATACCTGCTTAAGTTTAAGAAATGGCATTAATAGAAGTGGCCTAGTGCACAAAGCGACAGTGGCGCTATATAAACGTATGTCAATGATTTTTATGTGATGAAAATACTTTAGTCTTACTTTAAATCATACTCAAGCCCTGACTTGAGCATTGAGTAGAGTTCTAGAATACGACCCTTAATACCCTTAAGCCGAGTAGAAGCTGGGTTTGATGGTTAATGAATCCATGACTAGTCGGCCTCTGCGATCACGTCCGCAAAGGCGATCAGTTTTATATAACTTCTATCGTACATTTTTAATTTGACGAAAAATGGTTCTTTACAGAATACTCAGTTCTGTGTTGTAGCATAACTAATTCATTTTCATCTAAATTGTAATTCACGTTCATTTGTGCTGTAAGATCTAAAATATAGATTCCGATGTGATCAGGCTTCGCGTTCAGCATAGCATATTAAGAGATACAACCTCAAATGACGTTGATTCAGCATAACAGTGAAAGTGTTCAACCAATCATTTTGGAAAAAAAAAACAGTAAAATTGGGGATATACATACGTTGTGAAAACACGATAAAAAATTTTCACGATAGTATAATTTACTCAAACTTACCTCCAAATTTTACAAGATAACCGCTGTATTCAATAGGTACTTAAGATATACCATTGATATTTTTTATATCAACTGGACTAAATGGAACACGTAAAGTATACGATATACATTTTTTAAATGGCTTTAATTCCGATTGTAAAAAAATTAATTCTGAAAAAACCCAAGCAAAAAAAGCCATTATTAGTATGGGAAAAAAATTTAATTCGAACTTACTTATCGACTATTAAGTGATTGACGACTATCTCTTAATGCTATAGCTAGCAACCGCATAAAGTATTCGCGCGACAAATTTAATTTTTGTAGAGACCGCTAGGAGTACTGTACCATTTAGTATAGGTATACTGATCGACACGCGAGACGTGCTCGCGGAAGCGTTGGTTTGTTCAACACTAACCGATTACCTTGAAAGTCAGCCCGCATTCATATCCAATCGTATACATTACGGAAACCAATCTCTGGCCTTCAATATCCGAAGTACATGTGTGCCTCCTTCAAGTAATAAGGCCTTTAATGACATTGTGGTATGTCGTAGGCCTGCCGTTGCCTACGTACATCCCGACGCGGATCCAAAAGTCGCCTCCGCTCAGCCCCACCCTGGAGAGCAAATTCGGTACGGTATTCCACACGTACGGTGGGCCACACTAAAGATATACAATGTGTCAAAATTTCTTATTACACACATACCGTTCAGAATTTGCAATTTAAAAAATATGACAGTTTGTATTTCTTAATCTGTGGCTGAGTTTACTATTTTAGTGTTGCGCTAGCGATGTCGATGGTTTTGCATTCCGATAATATCGAACAAGTGGGATTTTTAATTAACTGGACAAAACTGAAGTTTATAGTATTGCCAATTTGTAACGAAATAAGAATAGTATTGTCTAAAAGATCGAATTCATTGAATCAATTAGTAGGTCATCAACTCATCAATCTAAATTATATCTTTTTAAGACACGGCTGTTATGGACAGGCGTGTCGCTTACCACCAGACAAATGACTTGTTCGTACCGTCAATTAGTTCAATTCGACTGTATGTTTTTTTTTGTATGTATGTTACGCGATAACTCCGGTATTTGCGAATCGATTTTCATGATTCTTTTTTCGTTGAAAAGAGGGTACCTCCATAGCGGTCCCATTTAATTTTGAAGAAAATCATCCACCTCTAAGGGTGGCTGTTCACGCATGAAGATCCATTTTTATAAATAGCGCCTAAATTTTATTATAAAGAGCAATTATTTTAATGGTTGATTTTGCTATTCTCCAATTCAAGGCGTTTTTCTCTCTCAATATACTTTGAGTAGTGAGAACCGATTTTTATTATCTCCTGTGTCAAGTCCCGTACAGTGGCGAACTAGGGGATGAATCCGGGTTTGCGCACTTTCCGTTAAACCGATTTAAATGAAATTTGGTAATTATATGTAATTCCACATACTTTTGAGGTCGGTTTTTTAGTACTCTGTACTGAGATTATTAATAGAAAAGTCTTTAAAGAATTTGTAAAATTTGAGCTAATACATATTCATATTCATTTATTCATTGCCACCATATGTCAGAAAAGGTCTTAACTTAAATACATGTGTTCATATGGACCCCGTTAGGGCACTGCAAGATTTAACAATTTGAGAGAGGAACTTAATATAATATTACCTACTCACTTTCACACATTCACATACCACATTTATATTATTATATTTACATTGTAATAACTATAATTTTATATTTATTTTCTACCTATACAATTCAAATAATAATGGAATTAAAACATAAATTTAACTCTTGACATATAGTTATAAAATTGCAACATAGAGCTTATGTAATCTAAAATACACAAACGAGGTAATAGCATAGCATCTACAATCATATAACGAATAATTATATTCTATTTTAAACGAAATTTTATTATAATATTAAAACGAATGAATACGAATAGCTACTCGAATTTGTCTGAAAAAAATTCCTCTATAGAATAGTAGCATTTTTTAATTAACATTTGTTTTAGATGTTTAATAAACGTTATGTATTTTTCGTTACTTTTGATTTTATTTGGGATTTTATTATAAATTTTTATCAACATACAATGAGGGCTGTTAGTAAATAATTGCAATTTTGAAAAGGGTACTTTTAATTTGTATTTATTTCTGTCATTGCGTTTAATTCCTGGTATTGGAGAATACAAACCTATATTCTTACGTACAAATTTACATGACTCAAGTATATAAATTGAAGTGAGGGTTAATAAATTGTGTTTTATGAAATGGGGTCGACATGGTCAACCTTTACACCTTTGTTTGTGTCTAGTATAAGAAGTTTGTGCTTTTTTATACTGTTTGAATGATGTTAAAAAAAAACAAATTACCTTTGTGTATTTCAGAAATATTAACAATATATATTTTTTAAATATATACTGATGAGTATGATATAAATAATAATGTAACAAAATACTTTCTCTTAATCATATTTTTTTTAGCAGATCGTTTTAGTGATTCGATTGAGAACTGAACCAAAGACATCGCTATACAATAAACTTGGCAACATTGTCTTACCAAGTGGCATTAGTAGCTGATGACGATTGTCCAGATAGTTAAAATTTCAACTAAAGACTATAATTAATAATGTCAATAGAATCAAAATTAGTTTGGTATGCCACACATTACACTCCCTGACACATAATTTGAGCCACCTTCCACTGTAAATATTAAAGGGCTGGAACAAAAATATTGTTATCATCGAAGAAAAAGCTTTCCCCTATATTACAAATTCAAACTTTCCAACTTATGGAAATGATAAACGATACCAGTTCAAAATAGCATAATAGTTTTTGATGTATCAAATATTGTTTATGTTTAGTACATTTTATACTTAAATTGCAAGGTGGCTCTAATTATGTGTCCTGGAGTATATGTACAAAATTTTTAAAATTTTACAAAATTTGTGATTCTGACGTTGCTATATTTGTATTGCACATAAAACCCGTCAAAGCTGAATGTAATGTAATGGCAAGTTCAGTATTGATCCACTTTATGTCTCGCAGTGGCAGTGTCCCGCAGATCTTTGCGATTTAAAACTTTTAGTGACATTACAAAAACTTTGATGGACGTTGCAATTTATCTACATAGTATAGTCTGTCTTTTTTGAAGATGGAGTGAAATGACAGTTCATTGCGCGAAAGTGTTGCGCGCTTACAAGCAGCTAGTGATCCTAGTCGATAAAATATTCTATCGACTCGACTGAATGTTGGTGAACGCATGCCTTTTTTGCCAACCATTATTTGTTCAAATGCTGGGCACTGCTTCATTTGAATTGTCAATTTTCGTTAGATACACTGCATTTGGAATTGTGTCCATTAAAAATATGAAATGGAGACATTTTATATTTTTAATGGACACAATTAATAATAATATAAAATACAAAAAATATATAAAATGGAGACATTTTAAATTTTTATTTATTTATATCAATATAATATAATCAAATCCACATGTTCTTGTTAAAATGTACATGAATAAAAATTGATTTTGATACTTATAGACCACCTGTCAAAATATGAATGACGAAGGCAATAACGAAATTAGAAATTAGAACGTCGTAACGTTCACAATTTCGATATTTTTGGCAAAATGTTACCTTCTTTCACAATTTATCGATAAAACTACATGATTATTTAAAATTTATAAAAACTGGCAACCCTGCAAATGTCATTTTACTCCCATTTCAAAAAAGATAGACTATAGATGGACGTGGCGCACGACTTGCTCGTTCGGTCACTATAAAAAGGTGCCCTGAAAAATTTGCTGAATGTCATTACAGTTAGTCAGTAGAGAGCCTGTATTTCAAGGCCACGCTTGGCATTTGTGTATATAGCACTTACGGAGAACTCAAAGTCAACCGCTTTTGTCTCCGCTCCATTGTATACTATGTATAGTCTGATAAGTGTTTTTGCATGTTTTACAAATCCCCACAGTTAATAATACCTTGGGGATTTAAGAATCTTGTACCTCATATTCCCACAGCGCAGCTAATATTACATGGTGCGGATTTTTGGGACAAAATATCTTAACAGCACCACTTGAAGAGTTTTATGGAATATTTACTTTTTGGTCCTTGTCTCGTTGCAGCATTTTAAAAAGTAGTTTTCCTAAAAAAATGTAGTTAAAAAAGATCTTCCTTCAAAGATCAATTTTTATTTATTTAATATGACAATTAATATATTTGTTTTGCATTACGAGTTTAGTTTTAATAAAGATTTTGTTATTTAGTTTTTCTTTTTTCTTTATCTGTTAGTTTTAGTTGCGTAGTTAACAGATAACTCATGTATTTACGTCGTATTTTTGTTAGACGTGTTTCGAACCAGTCCGTGGTCCTTAATCATGAGATTCCGCGGCGGTGACTCGAGTTTGTCGTTTGCACGACATAATGGTTTGAAGCGAATATCTGTCGCCACATTTTTATCGTCAGATGACTGTCGTTCTAGCTCTTCCCATTGTCACGACAGTCTGTCGTCGGAACGTCAAAAAGTCGTGAACGACAGTTAATATGTTCTATATGTGAACAACTTGTTTTGAATATAGAAGTCACGATACTTTCAATTGCACGACTGTCTTCACGATATATAATGGGAACGCGCCCCCAGTCTCATGATGGTTTTTCTATTTAAAATAGTGGCATAATGTTACCTAGTTTTACATAGACACATGTGTATTGAGTTGTTCGCCGCGGTTGAATCTTAAACATTGTTATTCTTATATAAGAATAATAATAATAATAATGATGTTCCTAACCCCAGCCCACCGAGCCACTGCTATTTAAAAATTCAATCTTTATCCTTTTGGCCACATCATGTCAGTTGTGCCTTTGGTCGCGAAGCAAATTTAGTACACGGAATTTTACGCTCTTGAAAATAAACATGGATTTCTAACGCTGATTTATCGTCTGTTTATATGTATAAGGAAGTGATGGAATAAAAATAAAAAAACATTTTTAGGGAATGTCAAAATAAAATTAAAAATCGAATAACTTTAAAAGTAAGTAGTAAGAACCAGCGTCTTTTGCCACACCGGGGCCACCGCTTGATCTTACCAACTTAGACTCTGTCTGTAGTCTGTTGTTTGATACTTGTATCAATAAGAATAACTATCTACTGGCGTATTTACACAAAAAAAATATTAATATCATAGTTGTCGATTTTTGACGCGATAAAACAAATATGACGAAATTAATATAAATAAATAAACAATAAACAACATCACATTACCTTATCATTGGTCTTACCATGAACTCTTATTACGATTCAGCTTAGGATCTAAAATGAATCGTCGTGAGACAGAGCTACATGAAGTGTATACCACCATCGCGCTTTGTTGTCGTTGCGAACCTATATTGAACTGTAATAAGAATAAGGCGCCAGATCTCAAAGTAAGTAGCTAAAGCACTTTGGCTATGGAAATCTGAAACAAACACCCAGACGCGAGACAATATACAAAAACTTAGTTTCTACACTGACCCGGCCGGGGATCGATCCCGCAACCTCAGAAATGGCGATGCCATGTAAACCGGTATGCAAGCCACTCGACCACAGAGGTCTTCGAATTATGTATCCCTTTCGCTTACTCCATTTGTATAATTTATTTCGTACACACTACTCCCGGGAGTCGACTCCCGTTCTCTGTCCGAAACAAATACTGTCACATAAGTAATATTCAAGTAAATCAAAAAACAATGTCAAGTATGAAGTTTCATTCGCATCATGCTTCTTTTGATTTGGTCGAGTATTATTTATTTGACGGTAGTTATTTCTGACTGGGAACAGGAATAGAACCCTGATACAGACAATGTGATCTAAAATTAGATCACATTGCCTGTATCAGGGGTCTATCTCTGAAAAGATCTGATTTGTTACGAATTATTTATTGACTATGTGGCAGATCACGAACTGTACCTGAAAAAGAACTTAAAACGAATTAGTACCTAATACAACACTAAAACTAAATATTGTAATAATTACGTAACTTATAATATAATATATTATATATTATATACTCATACATATACATACTTTATTAACATCTACCAAATAAAATAAATGAGAATAAAAATGTAGTAACTATAATTAAAATTAAAACTAAATTATCTAAAAATATTAACGCAAATTTCAACTTACCTCTCGATTCATGTTAACCTACGCCATTGTTTCGCGTAAGCCGGACACAATGCGTTACTGCGCATCGGCAGCCAGTCGCCCATAAGATCTTCGAAGTGAAACCCGAGTCGCCCTTTGCTTGCCATCATATCTACCGGCTTCCGCTAATTTCGTTGTATTTACCTAATATTGCCATATACGTTTGCCTCTGTACTTTGCTTGTATACTCGCTTCAAGTGACTATCAATAAACTGTTAAATTGTGTGGTATCAACTATTTATTGGTGTGCCTATCAACTGAAAATACTACAACTACCTCGGTGACTCGGCAGTTGGCACTGTGGGATCTAGATTAGAAATAGGACCTATTTGAGAAACGAACATTTCTCAATTGATCTGGGTCGAGATTTTATGTGCTCTGGTACTCATAATTCCAAGAATTTCTTCTCGCACGTCGTTTGGTCGAATAGGCGTATGTTTGTAGCTGATTGTTCTTTCGCGTATGAGTTATTGTAGTAAAAATAGTTTGTTTTCATAAGTAGAATTAGTTGCACATTTTTTCTCGTGGCCTAGTAAAAAGTCTTGTATTTACAATCTTAAATAACAATTTTCTTTGTAATGAGTTTGAAGGTATTCCATTGAGTTTAATTGCTTTCAGGTCCCATAAAAGATATAGACGACGCGGCCGAGCGGTTTATAGCTGAACAGAGAAACGCCTTAGCTCGCGCTGCTAATAGAAAATTCCAGCCGCCGCCAAGGCGGTCTCCCACCAGGTTAGTTTACTTTAAGGAAATGCCGCCGATATTAATAGACTTCTTAACTCGCAAGTGTTCTGTCGAGGCAATTCAAAACTTCCCCCTGAAATATCTCTAAAAGATAAGTGTAAAGATTCGTACTACAAAATATGCTTTATTATAAGTGTTCACCAGTTCCAATACCCGAAAATCTCAACCTCTTCAAAATGTCAATGCTCTGTATATTTATTGTCTTCATATGGTACATAAGGTCTTAAAGTTAAAAATAATGTTACACTTAAGAGCCTTGTCTTCGGGATAACAACAAGACCAGAGGCAGGCCGAGGCTTAGATTAGTCACTTCAATTGTTCACTATCAATGTATAATAAAAGTACGTCACTGAGAAAATTCCGATTAAATTAAATTACAAGAATATGAATATATAATACAACATAATTCAAGATTTATTTATTATGTATTAATTTAATTATTAAAATTTATTATAATATTATATTTTGTCATTAAAGTATTCACTTCAATTGTAGTAACGTTTATTAATTAGGTATAATTTCAATTTATTAAGAAAGAGTGAATACTTTTCTCGTTCTTAATGATTGGCGGGAGACCGTTGAATATCTTTACCGACATTGAGTGGGGACCTGAGCTGTGTAATTGTATCCATTATCACGGACATGTTAATTCTTGCGAGTAAGCCAGACTTGTTTTTTTGTTAATATGATACCAAGTGATTATTATGGTATGCGACTCGCTTGTCCATAACAGTTGCAGTGCGCCCGTCACTCTTAGGGTCGTATTCCAGAACTCTACTCAATGCTCAAGTCAGGACTTGAGCAGACTTGAGTATGATTTCAAGCACTGGAAATGCGACCCAATGGCAAGGACTTGGGTATGATTTTCAGTGCTCACTGCAATACTCAAGTCAGTTCTGGAATACGGCCCTGAGACAAAGTTGAAAAGTTCCATGTGCCTGTAAATTCACCAGTACACCTTCAATACCGAAACGCAGTAATGTGAGCATTTCTTCTTGGCGGCAGAAATAGATAAGGTGGCAATCATTCTCTGGACGAACTGTTGCATTGAATCGCGTTAATATCCCACATAGCGAGGGTCTCGTGAAAGCCGAAACCGTGAAATTTCGCAAGTACCTTGAATTGGCACACGAGATCACTGATATGAGGGGTATGGCCATCACTAGAATAATCCCCATTGGTTATTCTGCTCCCGGAATGATTAGATCAAATGCCAAATATCGAAAGAAAATAGTTCTTTTTTTATATAAAATTACATACTTGTAAATACATCATTGTAGTAAAGTATTTCGTCCTCAGAACTCATATTCACGAAGAAAATATTATTAAATAACGAAAAAATAAAAATAACAACAAATTATTCCAAAGTTGCGTTTATTTTATATCCGTACAGCCTATTATAATAGCAAATTAAGTAACACCATAGTTTTTTTTTTAATTCTCGCAATTACGGACAGGGTAATCAAGTTAGTCTTCCCTATTTAATTTCGGTAGCAATTTTTATTATTTAAGTATTCGAGTATATTATCGTGGAATATTATAGCAGTTTATGTGACTGTTACATAATGAAAAGCATTGAAATACAAACAGGGCGAGTTTCATAAAAACATCTCACGAGTGTTTTAATGCCCAACTATGTACAGTTACATACACTGCTTCATCTGTACAGATGTCTTTATGACGTGTTCAGGAACCGCATGTTACGACTGGCGAAATGGCGGCAAATAAAAACTTTTCTCACGCATGTCACACAACCGTAGTTTTTATTTTTAATTCATAGACAAACTAGAATCGGCCCCAACTATCATATCGTTCGATATCAAGTAACGTGTGAAATTGTCAAAATTCTTTGCTAATGACATTTCGTTTCGAATAAAACTTCATCTCGACTGATATTAGAATTGAGGTCAGATCAAATTGTTTTGTTTTTCAGAGATGTTCGAAATTTGAATGCAATCGATGTTAAGAAGCAATAATAACATTATCACAGATAAGAAATTCTAACAAAACAGTTTTTTACCTTTATGCTGGTCGTAATTTGCGGTTTTTGAACACATTATAGAGAGTTTATGATATGTGTGTAGATAAAATAATATTTGATGAGAATATTTCAGAATATTGAAATAATAAAAATTGCCACCAAAAGTAGGTACACAAAACGTACCTGAAATTATCCGACACTGGTGAGCTGTTGGTTGTATAACTGTTTTTTAACCGACTTCAAAAAAGGAGGAGGTTCTCAATTCGACTGTTTTTTTTATGTATGTATGTTACGCGACAACTCCGGTATTTGTGAACCGATTTTCATGATTCTTGTTGGAAAGAGGGTACCTCCATAGTGGTACCACTTAATTTTGAAGAAAATCATCCACCTCTAAGGGTGGCTGTTCACGCATGAAGATTCATTTTTATAAATAGCGCCTAAATTGAATATAAGGAGCAATTATTTTAATGGTTGATTTTGCTATTCTCCAATTCAAGGGCGTTTTTCGCTCTCAATATACTTTGAGTAGTGAGAACCGATTTATATTATCTCCAGTGTCCTGCATAGTGGCGAACTAGGGGGGGGGGTAACCGTTTTCAATAAAACTTGGTAAATATATGTAATTCCACGTACTTTTGAGGTCGGTTTTTTTAGTACTCAATACTGTGATTATCTTTAGTCTGTTTACATAGCCATTTGACATATTTAAAAACAGAAATGGATCCTACATATTTTGCAAGAGTTGCACGCTCTATATGACAATGACAAACTTTGTAGGTTTTTTAAGTAATGTCAACATATCCGAGCATGCTAAGAAAAATTATTAAAAAGAAAAAAATTTAATAAAATGTTTCGCAATAAATGAGGTTGTGTAAATAATATGTTAATATTTTTTGACTGTCGTCGTCAGGTACATCGAGAACACGACGATCGAGATCGAGAACGAGCTGGCGCCGAGGCGGCGGGACGACGACGAGTTACTGAGGAGGCAGGAGGAGTTCATCAACGCCAACAGAGCGGGGCTGCGGAGGAGGTCAGTGTGCCACGGTCCTTTCACCACTGTCAATTCCCGGCGGAATAGTACAGCTAGCGGGCAGCCCGTTCCTTTCTGCATAAATTTTGATTATAGTGGCCCTTCCTATCGGCTCTTAGGGTATACGAGACGGGCACTATAGCCTGTGCAAGCACAGGAACCTTCTCATTCAGGTTCTGACCCTAGTTTTTTGTGTTATAGTTTATTCATATTCATTCGTAAAAACGAAGATGGATCTTGCACATTGTTATTGTTTTGAAAGGTACAGTCAAACGTAATAAATGCAATTATAATTTTGAAAGGAATGTTCAAAAAGAACGGTAGGACGAAAAATGGTATGGTCCAGGTTACTAATTACAAATTTTTAAGTATTTCGGAATTTTTTTTTAAGTGCTATGACTTTACGAATAAATAAAATATGTATGCTGTGGTATTTATGAATAGTAATATATGTATTTTATAAAATGTGTTAGTTTAATAAATATCACGGTATTTTATTACTATGATATTCAATTAGTTTTTGTGAAATTACTTCACTAGGTTTTTCGTTAAAAGAGAAAAGTCGTTGAAAACAAAAAAACAAAGATCTTCAGCTAGCACATGGAAATATTTGTAAGGTTTGCTGGTTCGTTCCTTAACTAGCCCAGTTAAGAGAGAGCCAACCAAGGTATGAAATAGGCGCTGGTTTGAATCCAGCCGGATTGAATGAATTTTCCTTTGTGTTTGTTCTGTGTATTAATTATTGTATAGGTAATGATTAGTCTTTGTAAACATGTAATCTCAGTACAGAGTACTAAAAAACCGACTTCAAAAGTCATTCATCCCCTAGTTTGCCACCCTTAGAGGTGGAATATTTTCTTCAAAATATTTTAAAAGGGATCACTGCCGAGGTACCCTCTATCCAACAAAAAAATCTAAATCGGTTCACAAATTACGTAAAATACAGTCGAATTCGACTCCTTTTTTGAAGTCGGTTAAAATTGAAAAGGCCTGTTGTTTGTCCACGCTCGTTGCCGCACGTTCTTCCACTACTTGCGAGCAAGCGCGATGGAAAGAAGGAAAGAATCGACAAGGAGTGTCGTCTCTGGTCCGCAGGATGCGCTCGGCGTCCCCCCCGCCGCCCCCCTGGCGCTCGCCCTCGCCCCCGCGCAGCCCCGAGCGCGCGCGCCCGCGCCTCGAGCCCAAGCGCGCGCCCGCCCCGCACCCCGCGCACGCCCCGCACCCGCCCTCCGGCGACGAGGTAGGTCTTGGGCCTCTGCCGAGAGATTGCGGCGACAGTTATGGCTAGCGACCGCGTAATACCTTTGTGCACAAGATGTTTCTTTTTGTTACCACTAGGGGCGCTGTGTAATTTGCCATGCAAAATTGTAGTAATTTACGCGATCGCTAGCGACGACTGCCACGGTAAACTCGGGTATATGCACTGTTGAGTGTTCCGTAGCCGAATTTTTTTTACTATACCGAGAGACTGAACGAACGAGCCCGTATCGAAGCAAGCAAGTAAGTTTCTATACATGGCGTCTCACGGCTATGGGACACGGATGGAAATGCTTTATATATTCCACATAGGACATTTTGCTTCGTGGAAACCCTACTCTATAAGCCTCGCGGGCCTAACTAATAGGCACGAGATTTTAAGATCATACAATACTTTTTCTACGAGTAAATAAAATTATGGAACAAAACCAATATTTAATGTATATTTAGTTAACAATCCATGACAACAAACACAATTTCAAACTCTTCATATATTTCGACAAAGGCCAAACAAACACTACTAAAAACCAAAGAGAGAGATATGGTCATGTACCGCATATGTTTTAAACAATATATTTTTTATAAAAATTTATGGCCAGGTTGCAAGACTTTTAGGCCAATTTAACCAATCAGGAGCTAGAATAACGTTTGAGTAGCGTCCTAAGCAAAAATACGACGTTCTCCATCGAGCTGAAAAATCCCTTGTCTGTGGTACTCGTGCTACAGACAATAGAATTGTGATTCAGAACTAAAAAGAGCGCCTTTATGATATGGTTTATGAAATTATAATTGACAGATTAAAGTACAGTACAGTAAAAAAACGTTACTTTGTTATCATCAATAACAAAGATGGTTTTCTTTCCGCATCAGGACAGCGAGTACCGCCGTCGTATGAGAGAGCAAGAGAGCCTGCGCGAGAGAGTACTCAGAGCTAAAGAAGCGCGACGCAGGAAAAACGCCGTGGCTAACAGGTAAATAAAGAACTCGGTGAGTTTTGAAAGGAACAATTCATTTTGCCTTCTCTTTATCTATATCTGTATTTATTTGGAAATCGGTAAACCATTTTTTGTTATATTATAGTGAGTTAGATTTCGTATGGTAACAAAGTATCAAAAGATGCTTCTAGGTTTACTATTGATTTTTTTTTAATTCTGTTCTTATTTTTCATAGGGAACGTGAGCGTTTAGAAAAGGAGAAAGAACCACCGGTCAAAGAAGAAGTCAGCGTGCCTACAAAGTCTGATGCAAGCCCGGAGCAGGCTAAACCGGACACGACCAGAAAGTCTCCTGAAAAGGAAGAAAGGGAACGGTCTCCCATAAGAAAGGAGGAGGAGGCTGAAGTTAACTCAACTTGTGGTAAGTTTTCAAAAATGTACGACAATCAATTTTAGAAAATTGCTTGAAAGTTGACAGCACAAGTTTTTTTAGCCAGATTCAGCTAAGTCTTGTAAATTTTGTGGTTCTTTCACTCTCCATTGAAGAAATGGGTCTATGACTATTTATTATTTTTTATTTATTAAGGATTACCAACATAGTTTGCAACGTAACGTACATTAAGCAATAAATACCCAATAATTAATAGGTAATTGCAACTTCAATTATAAGCAACCACAGCATGCACTCAGTACTGTAAAAGAGCATTAATAATTGATAAATAAATTTAATTCCAATTGACGCACGGGAACTTGTAGCAAAATAAAACCAGCTACCAAAATATTTTTATGAATCGGCACGCCACCGGTAGAATACCTCCCGGCTATACATGTTTTTACTTCTTATCTAATGCAGATCTAAATAGTGTCAGATAGTACAAGAAGAATTTAAAATTATGTTTTGTGAAAAGTCAAGAAATTGTCGTTTATGATATTAGTAATATATTTCTGCTAGATTGTTATAGTCTGTCTTTTTTGAAGACGGAGTAAAATGACATTTCATTGCGCTAAAGTGTTGCCCGCGTGCGAGCAGCTAGTGATTGCAGTCGATAAATATTGTATCGACAATCGGAATAATATTGGTCACGCTTATTGAATAAATATCCGCACTTGATTCATTTGTATCATCCTCGACCTATTTATTATTCATCCAATTACTGAGTACAAGTTCATTTGAACTGTCAATTTCTTAAGTTCATACATACATACGATGTATTTAGAACTGTATGTTTATGAAAAATACAAAGGGGAGACACATTTTACAGTTTTTAATTTTAATTTAATATAGATAATTAAATCCAGCTATTCTTGTTAAAATGTATGTGAATAAATATTGATCTCGATTTTTAGTAGGCCAACTGTCAAAATAAGAATAAAGAAGGTATTAACGCAATTAGTAACCATTAGATCGTTGTAACATTCAACCAAATCAGTCATTTTCGGCAAAATTTTGTCTTCTTTCACAATTTATCGATAAAACTATCGACAACAACTACGTAACTATTTAAAATTTTATGAAAAGTGGCAACCCTACAAATGTCATTTACTCCGTCTTCGAAAAAGATAAGACTGTAATATTTTAAAAATATAATATGAATGAATAGTTTACAAAAAATACCGATGAAATAAAATAAAAATTATTAATAATAATAGTAATAATTTAGATCTATTAAAACAATGTAATAATGGATAATTTCGTATTACGTTCCACAGAAAATCTAACCCCGCCGCACTCGGACCTCCCGAAGCTGGAGTCGCCCGAGCGGGACTTGACCCCTCCGCTGCCCGGCCTGACCAACGACAGCGACGACGACCTCGACCTCATCCTCGGTGACATCGAAGGCATCCTGTCCGACGACGACGACACGGGACGGTTCAAGGAGAAGGCCAAAAAGTGAGTCATGTGGGATGAAAATATTCAGGGTTTTAGAGTTAGTTTAGGGTATCTTTTTTACACGGCACTCACAACCAGAGATAAGCCAGCATCCGCTGCTTTGTCAACGCCGGGTTCAAATCCATGAATGCCCGAAATCGAAGACAAAAGTTATTCACTCAAATATTTTTATTGTAAATCGAGCTTTGTTCAAATGTAATGATATTATTACAAAATATTTATTGCTTTTTTTATTGAATCAATTCGCTTGAAAATCACATTCACAAAGGTATCTCATCATCGTGTTGATAAAAGGTAAAGGTATTAAGGTATAACCAACAGCACAAATATACTTTTGTACAAAAAGGTTATTATTAAGTGTGTGTATTATTACTAGTACACACACTTTTTAACCTACTTCAAAAAAAAGGAGGAGGTTCTTAATTCGTCTGCAAGTTTTTTTTTATTATGTTAAGCGATAATTTGTGAACCGATTTTGATGATTCTTTTTTATTTGAAAGAGGCTACCTCAGTAGTGGTCCCATTTAATTTTGAAGAAAATGTTCCAACTCTAATGCTCTAACCACACAGTCGCGGCCGCGGAAGCGAAACACGCGGCTGACGCGCGGCCGCCGCGTGTTTCAGTGCGGCAGGGTTCATATAAACTCGTACATTACAAAAAAACCCGCGCCCGGAACGCTTCCGCGGCCGCGACTGTGTGGCCAGAGCATTAGAATGGCTGTTCTCGCATGAAGATTTATTTTTATAAATAACGCCTCAATTTTACAAGGAGCAATTATTTTAATAGTTGATTTTGCTTTGCTCCTAATGGAGGTTGAAACTTGGTAAACAGATGTTATTTCACGAACTTTTTGAGGTCAGTTTTTTATGTAGAATCCAATTAGTACAAATTTAAGTAGCATTGATGTAATCGATACTGGACGGGCCAGGACTTAACATCGTGGCACCTGCACGTCCAGCAATTGAGTTTAATATAATGTCCAAGGTTTTCTGATGTCTCACTACAATGTATACACTTGTGAATATAAGTTTAAGCGGATTTGAATATTATTGAATGAGCTTTTTTTAATTTATTTTGACTACCACTCGCGTACACTTGTGCACTTTAAGTTTTTGAACTCGGACGACAGTTTTCAGGTAGCAGGGAACGGGTGAAAGGGAGGATAGTGCTGCCAGAATATCATGTTATATGCGTTTGAGTTGTGTCTTGTGTGCAATGAGAAATATACTTAAAATATGTGTCATTAATTTAATAAATGTAATAAATAGCTATAGAAAGTACTGTGATGACCCATGACGGCGCAGCCAGATACAAAAAATCGTTAGATCGTATGCACTTGAATCACCATTTTAAAAATCGGAACGTAATATATATCCTTAGTAGTGAGTATGCACAATTTAGTGTCTAAAAATATTTTTACATCTGGAATCGAATTATATGGAATTATACCAAATTCCATATTCGTCTTTTCCGCCCATCATTTTAAGCAGTTTTGGTATAAACCTTTGAGTAAAAACCCAGTTAAAATCTGGGCAGGTTGATTTGGTTTTAACTCACTGCCCATCATCTTAATGTAAAGAGGCAAACGAGCAGACGAGACACTTGATGGAAGGTGGTCATTGTCCCCCATGGACATTTGCAACATCAGATGAGCTGTCGATGCGTCGCCAGCCTTTGATAGCCCTGTAAACACTCTTTGAAGATCCCCATGTCATGGCGCAAAAGAAATACTTCAGGCTTAAAATATCTCTGCTCACAACAGATACTCTGTCTATTCTTTCTAACGCGCTGCGATGAATATTAGGTAAAACAGGATAGCAATATTCAGCATTCATAATTAGTTTAGTTCGCTTGATAATAACAAAAACCGTTTTTCGAGCTTGAAATCAATAAATAAAGATACTTTTAAAGATTTTTTTTGACCTGTTTTACCTGCTATTTAACAGATAAAGTGTATATTACAATTAGGAAATATAAGTAAAAATCAATTTTACATAGGTTTACGGTTATTCCAGCACGTGTAATCTTACTTTTAGGTATTTTCGTGTATGTATGGCGATTGTGTGTGCCTTCATTTAAACAAAAATACGTTATTTACTCTTGGTTTAATATCGACTACACTTATGACTTCCTTTTATTACTAAGGATGGATAGCCGGATGGGACAACTTATAATAAATATTACGAAAATATATAGTTTTCCACATCCAAATCAACAAAAAAATTACCCAGGGCCCATCGCCATTTTATTTATTTATTTGGTTTACCAACGTCTATGTACAATATTACTTATTACATCTTATGATACCTTTACAAACAATGTAATTGCCACAAACACTTCTAGGTAAACACAACATGCACTCAAACGTAACTAATTGCATAGTCGGTGTTTACAAAAAAAAAATGGCGGCACTTGAAGGGATTAATGTAACTTTTTCTCAGAACGTTATACAATAAATGTAAAGCCTGTAAAATGTTGTTGCAGAGCCTCGCCCCCCTCGGCCCCGCCTGCAGACCTGCGCAGCCGTCTGCCGCCCAAGGCCTCCGCCGACACCAAGAGGCCCAAGCAGCGGATCACCTTCGACGACAAGAAGAAGAAAGGTGATCACCCCTTTGCTTCATGTCCTACACGGAAAACTGGCAAAGCTTTATTTACTTTAAAATCGGAGGTACAGGGGCGCCTTAAGGATTCCCACCCTCAATCTCTCAATGGAGAAGCAACCGCTCTCTTCCTTTTTTTTAACGCACACAAGCCCCGCACTAGAGAAACCCTGCATCGGACACAGACAGACAACCACAAATTACACCCAAACTAGTGATGAAAGGGACTCAGTCTTATAAGGCCTTTTAAAAAACCTCAACTAATTTTCAATGCCTCATGGCTAGTCTAGTCTTTTAACCCTCAAGTCTTGAGTCATAAGACTAAAACTGAAGACTAATTCGAGTCGAAGTCTTTTAACCGTAGGAAGCTTAAAAGACTTAGGCTAAGAACTCATGGGGTTTTCACCCGCGCCCGCCGCGATTGCGCCACCGCGGCCTCCGAAGAATGTAGAAATATATGCAAAATTGAGTAGCACATTTCACGACGCGTTTTACGCCCGCGGCGGAGACGGCTGCTCGCAGCCACTCGCGCGCACTCGCGGTCGGTCCCACGCCATTTTGTGATTGATTTTCGATTTGGCAACGCGTGTCAATTTCTCCAGTTATGGATGTTGAAGTCGATCAATACATTTCCTACCAGTTACCATTTTTCTCAAAAGTTCTGAATAAGTAGATACGGACATCTGAATAAAATTGAAGAATTTGTCTTCTTGTTTTTTTAACTCATTAATAAGAACAACGAATAATCCGTAACGATAACGAGAGGATGCACCCTGAATCTTTCAGGCCTTTTAATTCTTCGTTGAAGTAAATATAACGCGATAGCTCGGTTGTGATGTGAGTCCATGGCGACGTCTGAGACTTAACTGACGATTTCAATCGATCGTAAATAACCGCGCGCCTTGCGATCCTCTCCCGCCAAGTTTGCGGGCCGGTCAGCAACCGCGGCGGCTACGTGACCGCACAAACCTGCGGTATTGTGAGTGTTGAAATAAAACAGCTGTCCGCAACCGCAGCGGGCGCGTGGCAAAACCGCTTCGTGAATTCTTAGCCTTATAGGACTAAAACGATTAAAAAAACTAAAACGACTGGCGCCTCATAGCCTCGGGAGTCGCGAGTCATGAGCCGTATGGCGTGATTTTATTTCTACCCACAAGGTATTTATTTTACGATTTTTATTGTGAGTAAATAAACGTGAATATTTACTACGTACTACTTACGTCATTTTATTTATAAACTTCGGATTTAATAAGACATAAAATAGGTATAAGTCTTTTGCAAACAACTCGAGTCGTTTAAGTCTTTCAAGTCGTTTAAGTCTTTTGAGTAGTATAACGACTGAGTCTTATTAATAAAAACTCGAACCCCCGAAGAGTCGAGTCCTGTAAAATAGAGTCACGTCGTTATAAAACGCCTTAAAAGACGCCGAAGCCGGGAGATATGTTTGTATGGCTTACATTTATATCTCTCTTGAGTTTGGGTTAGTAATGAAATAGACTTAGGGTCCTTCCAGAACTATTCAATGCTCAAGTCAGGATTTCACTGGCAACACAAGCACTGGAAATACGACCCTAATGGCAGGAACTTGAGTATGGTTTCGAGTGCTTTAAACCATACTCAAATCCTGACTTGAGCGTTGAGTAGAGTTCTAGAATACGACCCTAAGAGTCGTATTCCAGAACTCTACTCAATGCTCAAATCTGCTCAAATTCTGACTTGAGTATTGCAGTGAGCACTGAAAATCATACTCAAGTCCTTGCCCTTAAGGGTCGTATTTCCAGTGCTTGAAATCATACTCAAATCTGCTCAAATCCTGACTTGAGCATTGAGTAGAATTCTGGAAGGACCCTAAGTCTATTTCATTACTAACCCAAACTCAAGAGAGATATAAATGTAAGCCATACAAACATATCTCCCGGCTTCGGAATCGAACCCGGGACCACTGCGTTGGAAACCAGAATGGTAACCGTTCAACCACGAGAGCAGTAGTTACTCACTTAAATTTGCTGTTTATTTTTGTTACTTGTGTACTTACTTTTAATTTACTTACAAATAATAACATTAAAAAAAATGTAGTATGATTTATTAACGCATGTTGTTTATTTTTCTTCCAGAGAAATCACCAGCTCGCAGAACTATAGTAACCAGCTCTACAAAGACTGAAGAAGCTGAAAGTAAAACTGTTAAGGTACTCCATTTTAAATGTGTGATACTTAATTAATTACCTGTGATACCGCACCCTCAACGATAAAGCGACTAAAGAACAATAAAATAATTGTTAATAACAAAGATTAATAAAATAATTATTATAACAAACACTTAGAAAAAAATTTCCTTCGTTCCGAACAGTTTTTTTAAGAACTTTTTTCTAAGTGTTCGATCTTTATTTAATTATAACAACCTAGTGGATCAATTTCACAAAAAAATAATTTGATATCATAGTAGAAAAACCGTGATATTCAATAAAAACTTGCTGTTGAATAAAACGCAGGCTAGAAACTTATATTTTTGTATATTTTAAATACAGTTAAGCACACTTGTATGGGACAGAGTTTTTGAGTAGAAGTGTTGCCATCAAACGTAACACATATTTAACATGAAATCTAACACATATTTTACAACTGTTGCCTGTTAATATAACCAAATAAAAAATTTTTAATGTGTGTCTACTGTTCTAAGAATATAAACCGGGATCATCTTAAGAACTTTGGTTTATTTCACCATTTTACATATTTTCACTTTCAGGTTACAATTCAATAATCATATGTCAAGATCTTCTGTTTTCTTAACATTCTAAATATAAAACTATAATCACTACCTATATCATAAAGTAGAGCCTAGTCTACATCCCTCTTCCTCATAGCTGAAGGGGTGAATACACACGACACAGGCTTGAGCATCCATCGGATGATCACTGGGCAACATCTATATTGATCTCCCAGCTGCCTTAGTCCTCATCCTGCAGCTATCCACGTTCCATCAGCTTTACCTACTTTCTTTAAACAAACGAGAACCAACACACATATAAAACCCTAACAACATATCCTAACATACATATGGGATGGGGATATTCCATATGAAGAACGCCAAATTAATTAAATAAATATATTTTCGACGAATGCAGACAGTTCTTGTTCATCTGGGAGGGTGAGCACGAACTATGCACACACACTGGACAATATATCTATCAAATTAATAAAAGAAAAAAAGAAAAAGTAAGTTATATCCTTCTAATCCAATCGGTATTCTATCACATCCTCCCGTCTTTCAAAGTCTGCATTGCCGGAAAATAACAAGGTTTCTTAAAATTCTTCACAATCTCATCGTGGTTCCACATGAAAAATAAATATAAAAGATTAATTAACCTAGTAGGAACCAAGAAAACATTAAATTATCTCCTATAAAACTTTTTCATTCTATTAACATGCAGTAGATTCTGTCTACCCTAACCTATTTCTACTTATACCTAATCTTCTCACCATACAATTAATTCTACTCAATTGATATACTATCCTAAGTTTCTCGTAACATACCTCTTAGATAACAAAGCAATTCTAACTTTCTTATCAAACATTCGCCTCCGCTTGAATTGTAAATTATCTATACATTCTTTACGAGAATTCATCGAAGCTGCTCGTTTTACAAATTCGCTTTGTAAATTCTCCACTTTACTTACAACAGGTTTAAAAATGTTAGGGATGTAGACTAGGCTCTACTCTATGAGTAGAATTGCTGGCTGAATATAGGTAGTGATTATAGTTTTATATTTAGAATGTTAAGAAAACAGAAGATCTTGACATATGATTATTGAATTGTAACCTGAAAGTGAAAATATGTAAAATGGTGAAATAAACCAAAGTTCTTAAGAGGATCCCGGTTTATATTATTAGAAGTACCTCTCGCTACGCATCCTAAGTTAAGAATGTATAGATTAATATAAAACTTGGCAAATAGATGTAATTCCACGAACTTTTGGGACGGGTTTTTTTTTTAAAGTTCTAATTTAGGATTTCCGCATAGTAATGCCTGAATTTATTAATTACTCGAAGAGTAAATTAAAGTTTTGGTAATTAAGAAAACAAATTTAAAAATAAAATGTATTTGAACTAATAGAACTTTTATTTAAATTTATAATTTATTAATACTCGTCTGGTGAACCATGCGTTAGTTTTCTAAATTTGTTTTGTTATTTCCCCAAAAATTTCACTATTTTAATTGGATGCTGATAAGCAACAGCGTGTCAGCCAACACAATCGTTATCCGGGACCTCAACTGTATGAAGTTGATAACGACTTAATTGCATTAACTGCATGTAGTCGAAACCTACTTCATACAGCCGAGATCGACTGCATGCGTGAAGTTGATTGCGATTTCACGCATTAACTGCAAGCATGCAGTCAATCTAACGTATATGCACTGTTGTCTTCTATTCTACTATGTGACTAATACATAATGTCATGGAATTTACTGAAGATACTTATTTTTTTTGCAGGCGAAAGAGAAGCCAGTTGTAAAAGAAACAAAAGATACAAAGCCTAGACAAAGAATAACATTCACTAAAGAGGCCAAAGAGGTACGTATTTCATTCGGTATTTATTATTTTAATTACAGATTTAAGAAATACAAAGGCTATATAATAATTTATAAACTAATTTCATTTCTTTGACAAAATTATAATAATTTAATTTATAAATTTTTCGATGAATGAATGTGAAGCGTAGAGCGTATGTTGCCCAAGCAACATTAAAAATTCTTCTAATAAAATATTTGATTTAGTACATTTGACCTATCAATATTTCATAAACTTTGTATGGTACAGGGTCAACAGCACGTCAAGCTTGACACTTAAGACTTAAATCCAACTTTATGCCGCTTGCGATAAGAAAGCGGCATAATAATTGCGGTGCAAAGTACAGTGTCAAGCTTGACGTGCTCTTGACTGTACCTAATGCCTATAAGAAATTTGGATGGTGACTAAAAAATCACCTGTTGGCTGATGGCTGGGTGTATCTGTTTGAGTGAGAGAAGTGGTTGGTAGTCCTGTTTGAATGAGCGCTTGGTAGTCCTGTTTGAATGAGCGCTTAATTGTGCAGTGTTAGTTTAAATCTCTTGAAAAGTGTAGGTTACTCAACTGTGCATAGTTTCCTTGAAAAATTTTCTTTCATCAGTAGTGGTAGTGGTAAATAATTAGATTTTAGGGTTTTGTTATTTGATTGTTAGGAAGGTCAACCGAACTTGAAGAAAATTTTTTTTCGATCTAGCTGGGCTCGAACTAGCGACTTCGCGGCGGAACTAGTCAACAGACCTTACGAATTTTTTAATGTGGTTGTAGGTTTTTATTTTTGGTTTTAATTGTTTTTTTAGTGCCGTTTGAGTGGTCTTGTGAACTTCTCTCTCTCTCTCTATATATATATATATATATATATATATATCTTATGAACAGCTACCAGCGGTTGACAAGAGATGTCGTTTTATTATTTGTCATATAATAAAATAAAATAAGTTTTTTCTGCGTTCTTCGATCTTTATCAATAATAATAATAATAACGAACTAGCGCACTATTTTTACAAAAAATATATTGAATGTCATGACAATGGAAGAAAAAATTGAGCTCAAGTACGCAGAACTAAGCTTGCAATTGGCACGCGTACTACTCTAACTAACGACTTGTACTGTATTTATTGTTCTGTGATCATTATAGTGAAAACACGTGTTATTTAATAAAAGAATTTCTTAGAACTTTCTTTCGCTTTTCTTAATTAGTGAACACCAGACGTCGGTCTGTATATCGTGTATCATGATTGGCGTCACAGTACATTTACTCAAGTGTTTAGTATGCTTATTAAAATATACATAATTTCGTTAAGACAGAAGATATCCATAATATTAATCTTAGAACTAAGTCCAAACTCATGGTACCACGTTTTCGTTTAACTAAGGTAAACGACTCTTTTAATGGGGAACTGTATAAGTTTTTACAATAAATTTCCGGAGCATACCATTTCTTAAGTTTAAAACTTAGTATTTTAATTGAAAAGTCGCATTACAAAATTGTTGACTAAGTGTTAGATAAAGACGTACGTAAAAACTACATGAGTTTAGATTTGACACAAATATGATTCAAAATAGCTTTTAAGTTTATTTGAAAAGAGCAATCCCTAGAGTTTTTGCTCGTTCTTCTCGGGGAGGTCAGCGCAGTGAACGAGCAGGAGCTTAAAAGATGTGATCATTTGCGGGAAATAGAATATTTTCGAGCGGGTGGGTAGACGAGTCGAGCTAACGGGAAGTCGCTTGCAGCAGGCCGAGCGCGCGGGCGCGGGCCCGGCGGCGCCGAAGCCGTTCTCGTACCGGCGCGTGGTGCTGCAGCGCAAGGCGCCCGAGGCCGAGCCGCGGCTGGCCATCTTCAGCCGCGCCGTGCGCACGGCGCTGGGCGCCGGCCGCCCCGCGCCCGCGGCCCCCGCCCCCTCGCCCTCGCCCGCGCCCCCGCAGGTGGAGTACGACAGCGACTCCACCGTGGACGAGGAGCGCCTGCTGGGCGACGACCCCGTCCTCGCCGTCGTGTCCAACCTGCCGCACGGCATGACCGACACCAGGCTCAAGACGCTGGCCGGCGCCGACGTGCAGGTAAACCGCCTCAGGGTGCCCGCCGCCCGGATTGGTGCTTTGACTATTCCCCGCTTTGCTTGGCCGTCGTTCGGACTTCATCAGTCGAAACTTAGCGGGGCGCGGGTTAGGTAGTCTTCGAGGCTCGGTCGCTATGAAAGGGACCGATCGACGATTGGAATCCTACCCTTTTAGCTAGATTTCCATCATTACAACATAGTTGTGCAATGTTTTTGTGATATTGGTCCTGTGATATTTCGTCATTAGTCTTTAATCGTGCCTTTTTCAGTAATTAGACTGTAACGGTGCGAAGTTTCTACCACCTGTACCTGAACCCTGAGATATTTCCGTTGAATCGGAAATTTCAATTTCTGAAATTGTCTTTTCTGAATAGACTTTCTTATTTCACGACCATGGCTACTGTGCAGGTGGTCACCCAAACAGTGAAGTCATGTAAAGCGGAAAACGAGCGTTTTTTAACATATTCACCACAGACGTTTTAGTTGTTGAGTTAGGCTATCATATATGTCTGATGTTTTCATCTTGTATTCATAAAATCTTTCATAAACCAGTATTTAATTGTATTCTCATTTCTACTCATACATTGATTCAAGCTTCTACATGATTTATGATGTTTTATGACAAATCCCATTTAATGTCATTTGCCGAAAGTTCCCTTCTGCCGTAATTACGAGAATGGCTAAGACATCTTTCTTTAGGTATTCTACCACCCGTGTCTAATTTTGGTAGAAGTATATTGCTTATGGCATTTATAACACATTTTGTGTTTAATTTCCGCAGACCGAAATAATTCTCGTTAAAACGTTAGCTGAGTTACGAAATCCATTTTGAAATGGTTTGCCGCCCAACATTTCACTTCACTAAACCAATTTATTGATCGAGTTATTTTTTATTGGCTTGGACGCAAAATTGATATTCAATAAGGCCATTGTTTACAACTTTAATATCTCCGTGTCGGTGCAGCCTGCTACCACACCGCGTCCTTCAGAATGATCGGAGGGAGTCTTCGAGCACTAAATCCCCGGAGGATTGTTTTCAACTTTCAACCTCTTTCTTTGCAACGTTCAATTTAGACTAACTTCTGGTTCCGGACTTTACGGTCGTTGAACTCCGATGCCGAACTTGCGGGCGCCATAAGCCTTCATTCACCGGCTTTTCTGGGCATTCTGAGTTATCTTCTGTTCATTCCTGCAGCTAATAATGTGAGAGACCGTGGTCTCGATAGGTTTTAATCTTCTGGTGGGCGACCTGGGCACTGTTGTGGCCTTTCCGAGGTGGAATATGTTTTTATATTCCAATACCAATAGGGTTTTCTTAATAATGTCGCTTTTCGTTACTAAACGTATTAACGAATAATATGAAATATTTGAGTCTACAAAGGATGTTTCACCTTAAATTTTTAATGTGATATATACAATAAAGAATTGAAATTGAAACAGAGGAGGAGCGCGACGGATGGCGAGTGCATGGCACTCATGCTTATCTAAGAATAGCACGTCAGTAAAATGTTCCTATTACATTATAACACACACATTTTTAACACTACTTGCGATATTTCTGTCACGCGATGGTCGTGTCTGTGTTTGTTTGTTGTTGATGTTTCCTTTGTTAGGCGTTAGTCTAGTGATGAGTGTTAGACCATGGTTGTGCGAATTTTCTGCCGGTAAGATTGTGGTCGTGGGGTATTTCTGTTAGATGTCGTTCTAATCATTGTGTTCAAATCGTAGTGTTAAAAATCTATTATATAGACGGACCTGCATTTATGAGAAAACAAATATTTAAAGCACCAATCCGTAAATAAATTATGCATATTTTATGTGATAATGATTGTTTCTGTAATGTTTATGTATATGATACTTATATTGTTAATATATACGCTTATATAAAATAGATATATTGTCATTTACTGATTGATTTCTACTTTGTTCACACTGAACATTTTTGCAACGGAGTTTAATTTTTAAGTAAAATGTTTCGTCTTTTAATTCTGTATTTTTAGTCACTACATATTTTTGTTAACAAACAAGTGCTTCATGTAAATTGTTTTATTATGATAAAATTTGTTTTACCAAATCTATTTATATATACACTGTTTGGATAGAATTGATTTGTAAATCCAAAATACGTAAATTCAAATTGTTTTAGTGCCGCAAATATGTTTTTAATCATACAATTAAACACGTGTAGCTCGTTATAAAATGTTATATTTTAAATAAAGCATGGTCTTTGTTAAATTCGACCGTGCGAGTTCAATATGATTATATATAGGGTTATTTGAAAAAATACTAACAACCTTGCAGGACTATGTTACTAACATCATAAACAATAACTTCTGTTCCACGACTGTTTATTCACAAAACAAATTTACCCAAAATAGACTTTTAAGTTTTTATTGTACTATCTGACATTTTTTAGATCTGTATCTGGTAGTAAAGTAGTAATAATTATTAATACAATAATCGACCACTAAGAAAAAATTTCTTTGTTCGGGCTGGATTCGAACCAACTTCTTTCAGCAAACCGTGCCGGACTCTGTCAACTAAGCCACGGAACAAACTAGAGGACCTTACGAATGTTTCTACGTGCTTGTTGCAGAGCTTTGTTTTTTGTTTTTAATGACTTTTTGCCGTAACGCCATCTGTGAGAAACCTTTGAAAGCTTTTCGTCACTCATAGTGGTCAGACGTCGCGACATTTAAAACCGTTATTTCTATCAGTTTAAATTTGAACATCAGCAAATTGAGTGCGAAGTGTTTGCCTGTGTTAAATTGTTTAAAATTTATAGAAAACCTTTTTGCAAGGTAAGTATGTGTCATTTTAAATTATTTTATATTTAATAACTTTCGTAACGTTATATGGGGTTTAGAATTTCAATCTTTTTACATATTTGGCGTAATATTTTGTCTATTTGTGTACAAAATAACTCAATTCAATTCTGTGGTATGTATTAATTAACTTGTACGTAATTTGCATACAATTACTAACTTTATGATTATTTGATTGGTTTTGCATGGCGCAAACTTTGCACTGTGTGCGTATGTTTTGGTTGATGTTACATGCCTTTACAGGATTTTAACGAGACTTTGGATGCCCCACTCGCCGAAGTTTTAGCTCTCGATTCGGGGAGCGAGGCTGATGAAGATGAAGAATTAACCGCCGGGCAGCTTCACGAGCTGTTTCGCGACGATCCTATAGCCGACGAGGGGCAAGAGGAGAATGTTCCGACCGATTTTTCTTGGAGCGACGACTTCACCACTTTTAGTGCCACGCGTGAAGACTTTCACGAGGAGGTTGGATCCAAAATTGATAGAACAAATTCATGCGATGTGTTCTGTCAGATGCAGGACCAACCCCTCCTGGGTTCTATCGTTCGAGAAACGAATCTTTACGCGTGGCAAACAATTGCCAAGACCAGCGAAATAGAAACGGGTGTCTCCGCCAAGTGGAGAATTAACGACTGGGCGGAGATATCCGTTTCTGAAATGTACAGAATGATAGGTGTAATTATAATAATGGGGATGTGCCTAAGGGGCCGGGTGGATGAATATTGGTCCACCGGCATCATGGGAATGCGCAAATGTCGTAAATTTATGTCACATAATGTATTTATTGTATTTATGCGATTTCTGCACTTAAGGGACAACGACACTATAAGTGCCCGGGGCGAGGACCGGGAAATAGCAAAAATCAAGCCAATTCTTGATTACCTCAATTTAAGATTCAGAGCAATTTACTCCCCTCGGAAAGAATTAGCTATTGACGAATCGTTGATGCTTTGGAAGGGGCACCTAAATTGGATACAGTGCATTCGTTCCAAAGCAGCACTATTTGGAATAAAAAGTTAAGAGTTGCGCGAGTCCGTCAGTGGCTGCGTACTAAATATTATCTTGTATACTGGCAAAAATACAAATGCTGCTGCTGGTGAAGCAATTTATGGCTTGACAAGCAGCACAGCAAAAATTGTGTTTAAATTAATGGCGGAGTATCTGGGGAAAGGTTACACCCTTTTCATGGACGGTTTTTATAATTCCATTCGCCTATGCAGAGTACTAAAATATAAAAAAAAAATGTCACCGATGTCACCGGGACCCTAAACCGGCGACATTAAAATTTTAAATGAAAAACATATGGCTAAAGGGGATGTGGTAAGTCGACACTGTGGTGATGTTTCAGTCCTTTCTTGGAAAGATGTGAAGTTGGTCACCAACGGTGTCGACTTACCATAATAACGATGTTGCGCCAGAAAGGCGTGCTGGTCGACCCTGTACCAAACCAAAGATGGTTCAGGACTATAATAAGTATACGGGCGGGCTCGACCTGAAAGACCAAAAGTTAGCAATCTACCTGCTCGAGCGCTAAAGGGGCTCGAAATGGCATATCAAAGTATTTAAGAGGTTATTAAATATTAGCATATTAAATTCGTATATAATTTACCTCTCCAACATTGGCGACGGAAAGATAATGACTCACCGTCAATTAAGGTACGAACTTTCTGCAGAATTACTTAAAAAACATGGCGAGTCATCCGTATCCCGAGCCCATTATACACACTCGTGTTATCGGCTAAATAAATTTTTGGACCATTTCCCCGATCAGACGGAGAGTGGCGGGGAACGCGTGTCTACTCAACAAAATAAACTTAAAAGGGCTCGGTGCACGCGTAGTTTGGCGCAAAAAAAAATGGAAAATGATCAGTATTTTCTGCTGCCAGTGCACAGTTTACTTATGCGTTGGCCAGTGTTGGAGAGAATATCATACCGTAGAAGATTTATAAATTCATATTTTTTTATATTGTTATGTATATTTGAATAGAATAGAATAGAATAGAAACCATTCATTGCAACGCCACTTACAATATAAAAAAGACTAATCTAAATAAAAACAGAAATAACAGCGTAACAACATTTAAACCACAAGTTACATAATACTGTGCTGACATGCATGTGGCTGTAGTGTATGTAAAAGGATCCCATTCAGCTAATGTCACAACCAAGACTAGACTGTGACGCTGGTTTTCAATAGGCCCTAGCCGAGTGAGTGATGGCTGTATGCGTCCCGAACTGAAAATAAAATATAAGTCTATTTCAATCGATATTTGTGTGTTATTACTGTGTGTGCGTATATATTATATGTTTGTATTTTGTTATGTATATTTATTACCATCTTATTTATTGGTATTACGTAAATATGTATATTATTATTTGATTTTGATGTACCACTTTTGAGCCCTGTATTCGGTTACGACGCCTTTTTCTTTGTTATTGTCATTATTGTCTCTGTTTTGGTTCGCGCTGCATATTCTTTGATAAATAAGTAAGTACATTTTATTTGGTCTTGCTCACTCTTTAATAATACCCTATTGATACAGTCCGCTACAATACCCTTTCCTCAGGCTCCGTTCAGCATTGTTCGCGTTTAAAAAAAATCGAAACTTCGAGATTAGTTTATTTTGGCTACTTCCGAAGTTATTCTCCGAAAAATAGTGTCGTGTCCCTAAAGTCAGGAATTTTTGTAAGGGATTTTTTGGATAAATTGCTTGGAAAGTGAAAGATATACAATGTGCCGGGTTAGATTCCCCCTAGTCTTTATTTTACCTACAAGAGTGGAAAATTAAACTAAATAATTAGGAAATTGAAATAATTATCATATAAAAAACTACAATTTAAAATTTGAATTTTGAATAAAAAAAATATATATGCTGAGGTACATAAATTTATCAGGGCCGTGGTTGAAAGGCCTTAAGATTTATTGTTTTCCGCTTCAGAGTATAGTATTCTCCTGTATAATCGCCGGCGCAGTAGGAAGGCCACAGGACGCGGAACAGTTGGTAGCCGTGTCGTTAAATGGCGGGAATATTTGTTCCTAGTCCGGACGTAATTTAAATTCCAGGTGTACTTATTTATTTTCCAGTAATGGAAAACCAGCTGGTAGTAAAGGTATTTTTCCTTCCGTTGTAAAGGCCCACAGACGGCGAAAGAGAGTTAGGGGAGCATCTACGTAGTAGTAATTGCCGGTGTCGATCAGAACGGAGTTGCAGTTTAAATTTGTTAATAAAAAAATAAGAATTTAGGTTATAAGGCTGAAGGCCATGGCGTATACTTATTGATTTAATTGTATATAAAACTAAATAAGCCAAAGAAGACAACGTCTGGTGAAAATACAACTAAATTAGATCGTTAAAATTTGAAATTTGAAAATACAACTAAATTTGAACGAGCTGCAACATTGACATAGTGAAATTTGGTACAATACAAAACATGAAATTAGCAAATATTACAAGCGTTACAAGTGTTTTGTGTGTTATCCTAAACTTGTCCTAAAGCGGGAACTTTCACTTTCACAATTATTTAGAACGTTAAATGTGAACGGGAAGCAAATAATACTGATTTGCATTAAAAGTGCTGCACTTTTCAAAATACGTAACGATTTTATTGTTTCACCGCCGGCTTAACGAATTGATAACGAAATTGAATCGGCCAGTTTTCAAATAATTCCTGACTAAATTAGCAACGAGGATGTTTCCCTCAACGTCTCCCTTAGGTTCTTGTCTAATCCGCCCGGCCTTCTTAAGTATACTACAATTAAATTCCGTCCCGTATTTATATTATGCGGAAAAAAGGAGGCAATATTATGTATTATTTTCTTAGTTTTTTTCAATTTTTTTTATATAAGTGTTGAAGTCCTTGCTCCAAGTAAGTTTGGTTGTAGCAAAATTGCATTTTTGTATTATTTTTAGCTTTCTTAGTTTTTTACAACCAAAATTCTACGATAAGTGGTGAAGTACTCGCTTTAAGTTTTTAAGGTTGCCTGGAAGAAATTGCTACGTAGCAATAAGGCCGCCTGGTATACATTATGTTGAGATATATAAGTTTACTTTGTCGTTGTTCTGTGTTGTGTTTGTATTTTTTAATGTGCAATAAACAATATTTCATTTCTTTTTTTACAACCAAATTTGCAAATTATATAAAGTAATACATTTCCTCTCAAAAAGTTTTTTTTATTATTCACACCATAATAATAATTATGAAATATGGTCAACTAAATTGATTTGTGGGCTGTTGTAGGACCTTTTCACATTACATGTCAAAGTGACTTTGACAGATTCATCAATGAATGACGGGTATTCAATGCGACATTGGCTTAGAATTCAAATTGTTTGACTGTACATTCCAAATATACATTCTAAATGCTCACAAAGAGAAATAAAAAGAGAATTAACATCAGTCAATATTATAATTATTAAATGTTCATTAGAACCTAATGTTTTGTTAAATCCGTAGATTGATTTCGTATTGGACAATGTAGGGAAAACATTAAAAACAAAACATACCAAAAATAATCGCCTATTCTAACATAGATACATAATTTGGTTCAATCACCTGTGAAATAATAAAACCTATTTTAGCAATGAAACATAGCTTATAAAGTGCACTGTTTATCTGACTTACAACATTGAACAATTAGTTGTTAAATTTCAAAACATTCTACCGCGCGGTCAGTGCACTCTCCACTCGCGCGATTTTGCGACAGACGACGTGCAAGTGCGCGAACCCCCCTGACATACCAAGGGTAAATAAAAACTTAAAAACTTCAGTAAAGTAGTAAGTTCAACGTGTAAGCATCCTCCCCGACGACCCCCACCCGCGCTCCTGCGATTGCACAGAGTTACCACCGTTTAAAGTGGTCTATTTAAATATTTTTGAATGAATTATTAAAAGTGGAATAAAAGTTGTTTGTTTATGATGTTAGGAATTAGTCCTACGAGGTTGTCAGCATTTTACAAATAACCCTGTATATATGTACGTCCCGCTGTTGGGCACAAATATTTAAATATGAACATTTATTATTATTAGGATTGTGTACACGTCTTCGTTAATTTAAAAATGTTGCACTTGTATCTGTAAAATAAAAATATTATGTTGAGATTGTAATGTCATTAGAGAAATACGAAGAATTTTATAGAGCTATAACATTGGGAGATGATAGTTAGAATTTTATCCTAAATTATTTTCATTGATAATATGTGCCAAACAATCATACCAATTGCCTGGTCACAAATTTGGGAATTCCATGTACTATGAGTACCAGAGCAACGGAATTCTGGGACACTTTCCAGAACACTCAGACCAGAATCGATTTAGAAAAGTTAATTTGCCAAATTGGTACAGCCAGGAATCGAACCCGGGACCTCCGCATTCAGCGCCCATAAACCGAGGTCGTCGATAAGTGTCAGAATTTAAAGAGGGTGCTTGTAGAAATTTACATTTCCCTTAAGTTTTACCATACCCATCAGCTTTCTTTTCAAAGCACTATTTAACCGACTTCAAAAAAAGGAGGAGGTTCTCAATTCGAAAGTATTTTTTAAAATTTATGTTATGTATGTGTCCCTGGCAATGTTTCCGTTTGAATAGATAATTTTTGACCATTCATTTGGTTCCTGTAACCATTTTGGAACGATTCTACGCGGCAATGTTGTAAATTATTTTTATAACCGTGACTGTGACTTAAAATTTTTCGTATTCTCCATATTCATGTATTAATTTTAAGACATAGATGTTTAACAAATACTAGATATAACCAAATATAGTTAACTTTAAGTACAAATAGTAATAGAAAGTACAATCGAACACGAATGTTGCAGAACTTAAATTTGGATAGAGAAGAACGGAGCGCGAAAATTACGTTCAAGACCACTGTTGCCGCTGAGAATTTTAAGAAGAAATTCAACAATAAAATGGTCGCTGCTAGCCGATTGACTGTAATCTTACGCTAGACACACACTGATCTTTACTTGCGCACAGGAAAATACTCCCAGATTAAATGCCTTAACTAGCGTTAGGCATTTTTTTCAAAGCAACTTATTTTCTGTTAGCGATTTACTTTTTGAGCTGTAGCTAGTGTCAATCTCATTAACCCAATGAGTAGGTGTTCACATATAAAAAGGTACACAGCGATCACTGAATAATGTTCTGTGAAACTGAGTAATTGTACGTTTTTAGGCGGCCTTCAACAGTCTGTGATCTTATGGATCACCAACGAGCTCGCACCCGCGAACCATAAGAAGAGGCTAGTCCGCGGTAACGCAGACTTTGGTTGTCATTTTGTAATTAGTTGATTATTAATATGAAAAGTTAAAGCCGTTGTGTGGCTGATCGTCAGCTGTGCGAGGAAATCTGTAAAGTCACAGAACGTGTGAGGCCTGCTTAACACAATCATGACACAATGTCAGATGTGGCAATTAGTGAGAAGAGAGACGTCTCTGGCAATTCATTTGCAATTCTAAAGATATTTCTTTAACATCGCAAATGTGTATGGACGACGGTAACCATTCACCATCAGTGTACACCATAACGTCGTCTTAAAGTGAACACGTTGGCTGCGCATTTTTACATATTTTGTGTTTAAAAATTTTTGTGTAAGCAGAAGGTGTTTAAATATGTATTCTATTAAAGCAATGTAGCATTATAAACAACATGTTTTTACTATAATTTACAGAACACTTTGTTGTTAACACGGTCAGATTACATACGAGGTATTCACTCTTAAGGCGACGGAAAACGTTATATTACTAGTTACATTGGTAAAACTTTATGAATTAACTATGCAAAACGACGCGGATTAAATAAAATCCCTAGACGTTGATTGATTTTTTTATGACCATCGTAAACGTGGATTAACAAAATATGAAATTACAAGATATTGAGTGACATTTTAAGATGCTGTCGTGCTATAAGAATTCTAGAAAGATTAAGTAAAAGAGTTCTTTCATGTCGAAAATAGATTAGGATTTGTTAGGAAATAAATTAAAATTCCAAAATTAAGAAATATTTTACTTTTCCGTAACAACCCGTGACAGAAGGAAGGAAATAAACTAGAATTTTCTCTCGTTTCCTATCAAAATGATATTTCGAGGCAAAAAGTGAGTTAATGATGTATTTAGGTAACATTTTAATCTGTTTCGATTTGTCCACTCTAAATATCTCTTCTACGTAAATATACGTATAAAAATATTTAAACCCTTTTCTCCTCGAAATATTTCGACATAAAACAACCCCTTTAAAGGTATAAAGTCAATTACTTAACACACTGTATCGTTAATAATATGTATAGGTACCTCATAGTTAAACCATTTTAAAACTACGCAATAAATACTGTATCATAAATAAATAGAGATTAAAATTAGCCAGCCATCTTTATGTGTTCCTGTTCTTTGAGTACGAGTATTTAATGAATATTATTTGGCATTTAGAAGTTTATAGAATGACGTGTGCGTTTATAAAACAGTTAACAAATATGTGAATTAATTAAAAATATGCCTACTATTGATATAACTACTTATAATTATGTATACTGTATACATAACTATGCTTTCCTTATATTCAATCGTTTATTTACTTCCGAAATTGTAACTGAATAAATAAACGTTTATATTTGGTTGTTGAAAGATAAATAAGTTCTTAGTCTGTTATAGACGTTTAAGGCCCGTGTTAATAAATAGCTCTTGGAGTCTCGTATTAAGTACGTATCGGCTGTATTACCAACTCATGTGACCAAGATCGAACACTTTATCGGTCCAGATTGAGCTATTACAATCTTTCCTGCAGTAGCGCAACGCCTTTGTACATCGCCGCCCGTATACTGTCATACGCAGATATTCCAGGGTTGTCACAAAATTAATTGTTGTGATTATTGTAACGTAATCACACATTAACAACAATAGATAAGTAATACAAATTTAATGCCAAATGTATACGTGACACTTTATTTTTAAATATTCTCAGTTTTTTATTCAATTTAACTGTATAACGTATTCGGAACTGCATGACCTTGATTTAAATTCTACTTAGTAAAATAGTTTATCTAAAATATTGTTTTTTGAATGTTGTATTTCGATATCGAATTACATTCGTAGACAGAGCATTTGGGTGCACATTATAATATATGCATACAACGATTTTCGCCGGATTCGCAGAAAGTATTCATAGTCTTTAAAGGTATATATTATATGGGTCATGTGGTCTGACATAAATAAATAAATAAAATTATTTTAAATCATGCACGCGTTAACCCTTAGCACTCCAACCCACAAACTAACCGTGTTTTACCCCACAGTCGCTGCGCAACTATATGATTTTGGAAAACTGTGCCATAGCTAAGCTGAACTGTCTGCCCTGCCTGTTCTAACTGCCTCCGTGATTGAAAGGTTACCATTCTGGTTCGTCACGTTTGATTCCCGGATGAAATATTTGCATAGCCTACATTTATTTCTCTCGCGAGTTTGGGGGTAATTTGTGGTTGTTTAAGGCACCCGCGATGCAGGGGTCCCCTATTGCGGGGATGAGTGAGAGCGATTAAAAAAAACAGTGCTGAGTGACGTTTTTAATAAGTAGAAACTTTGAAAACAATGTCATACTGCAAGGGATATTTGTTAATACGGGCGAAATTAATTTTAAGTTTTGATATTGGTACAAATAATTATTTAAAAAATTTATGAAAATTACTCACTGTGTTACGAAATATGGAAACAATCTTACAATAGTTTATAGGTAGTAATATGTTACTGAAGTTGATAACGCCAGCGCTGCGTTCCTTGAATTTTTTACTCAAGAAATGTCATTGGCAACTATGACATTATAACATTTGTCAGTCAGATGTTAATTTTATAGTCCTTGAATAGAGGTTTTTTTTCTTTATTTTGAATAGAAAAATTAGGTACGTTAACGACAACAACGAGTTATCTTATTTTTAGATATGTAAAAAAGTTTATTGATTTCTTTAAATTAGAAATACGAAGTTTTAAATATAAATTCTGTAAGCAAGTGTGCTACAAACTTTATTTAGACAGGTATACAAAAATCTTGGATTTTATGCTGTAGTATACATTGTTTATAAATACATACATAATTTGTATATACATTATGTACTATTTGTAACACATTGTTTTTGTAAATCTACCGGGATCTCATAACCAAACAAAAAATCTTATAATTTATAAGTAATGTGACCAATGTTTAACAAATTTTAAAGTGTTTGTACACGCGCCAGCACATCAAGCTACACATTGACGTATCTTGTTCCGTTGCACTGGAGGCGATTTTCGAACAAAAATGTGTAGTCTGATGTGCCGTTGTCCGTACATCGGAACTAATCCACGGACAGATATTTCATTGCACAAAATGTACGGTCGAAATAGCGAGTGTTCATTATTATCCAATTTAGCGCTTTCAGAATAAGAAATTCGATATTGTGATGCGATGATTACTGTATTTTTTATTTAATATGTTCATTTTTGAGGTTGAAACCGCATACAGTTAAAGGATACATTTTTGTATATACGAATCTTTTTTGTAGTAATTGTGGGACCCTGGTAGACAACGCTCTATTGTAATTCTCGTTAATAAAACTTCTTTATTTAAATGTAAGTTTTGAATATTGAACGTGTAATAAGCAATAAGTTTTCACAAATATTTGATTTACGTCGATTAAAGGTATTATAACCAGGTACAGGTCAAACTACTTTACTGCACAAAAGCGCCACGCCTATACAAATCGCTCTTTTAGTATGAGTGCGGTGCAGTATCGTACGGCATAGTGACGTTTAACCGTTACTTATCCTGAAGTTTGTTATATAAATATACATCTTAATTACACATTGTAGCTTTAAAAAGCAGAAATTGCATTGTATGTTTTGTTAACTAAAAAATTGATGTTAATTCTTAGATCTTTGAAGGAAATTGTGTTTATGATCGTAATGTGTATCATAAAAATATTCCATAGCTACATTTATTTACTGATAATGAAAGTTTCTGTAATGTATACGTTCAGTGCTATTACATTCTTGTTAATCCTGTTTGCGCAGGTCGAGACCACGAATCTTTGGTTTGTTATTAAGAGTTTTCAAACAGAAATACAAAAATATCTCATGTTTTAATGTAATTATACAAGTAGTACATATTTAAGTTACGTTATGACTTTCTGCTGCGCTAATAATAATTGATATTTTGGTATTTGAATACTATATGGACCTTATGTGTCGTGTGTTTTGCTTATTCTGTCACATTGTTATTAAAAAAGCTTGCGACGTGCATTTTAAACTTTTACATATTTTCATGTCATGTTTTGATTGCAAAATGTTTAATTCCGACTTGAATGTTTTGCAAATACCTAATGAAATTTACTATAAACTTATTTAGCTTTAATCATTGACGAATAATTCGAGATAACTGCAAATCACGATACAAGACAGCGTAGTCGGGTGTTTAGTACTTATTCGTACATCAGATGTCGCGACGAGGCTCAGATAGCTATTTTTGTAACTAATTTGTTTTACATTGACTAGCTGCAATTTATCGCGGCTATTCTAATTTCAAGTGATAACAAACAAATCAACTAGATGGCGCTTATTGCATCCATTTCTATTGAAACTGCAATTTTTTAATTTCTTTTACATTGACGAGTTGCAATTTATCAAAGCTAATGTAATTTCTAGCGATAACAGTTACATCAACTAGATGGCGCTAGGCGCCGTCGGCTGTTCTTTTATTTTATTCAAGATTAGCACCAACTACCCATATTAGCAAGCGTTGTTTTTTTATTATAACACAATGCTATTCTATTGATACGTATATTTGTCAATGTCCAGAAAACAATTTAACTCATGATCAATATTCTAATAATATTACAAAGAAAAAACTGAACTGAAAATTGATTGATATCCACGGCAATTTACATAATGTAAACTAGGTCCAGATTACCGATCAGCGCCATCTAGACATAAGTCGGTATTTTGACCTTTTTCAGAGTTACGATCTGTGGTATGGAGATTAGCAGTTATCTTGAGTTATTGGTTATGGTTTTAATGTAACACGAAGATTTTTTTAGTTCTATGTGTGTGTAATAAACGCTGTACGTATAGTAAAGGATTGTTTATTTAACCTTTTGTTTTTGTTAAGAATCACACTTTTGCCGATCTCAAATAAAATGAACAGTTAATTTATACTGTGTTTTACTCATTATGTATGATGTTTGTTATTTATTTATTTTTATTACCCTGTAAATATGTATTATATTAGAACTAAGAGAATTTTGTTTTAATTTAGCACGAGTTTAAAATATTTTATGAATATTTTACGCCCGTATCCGACTGGTTTTTATATTGACAAAAGATAAAATAAAAACTTGAAATATTATTTATTGTTTTATTTCCACTGCAAGCCAAGACCTTAAAATTAACTCTTGTAACAAATAAATACAGACCTGCACATCAATCTTACCCTCTTCGTAACTAACATAATGACTTATTTAGCGAAATAGCGTTATTAACATATCTGGGGTTGAAACGAGATCTACAACCGCCTCTGTATCAATGTCTCAAACTTACCGAAATGAAAATATAACGAGGGCAGAATCACCTTTACACTCAATTTACATTACTGCCAAACGGAATGGTAGTACGTAACGTAATCAAAGTAGATACGATACCCGAGAGTACGCGAAGAATTCTACATAAAATTGAATAAGCTATGGTTACAAATTGCTTCCATTCCAATTCCATTCCATTCAATGACAATTAAGCCTTATTAGATCGCCTTCAAATTAAACGCTTGGGCTCAATTTATATTGCGCATGCTCGAGAAGCTCGCGCATTCCGCGGAAGATATTGGCTCGTATCTAGTTTGTACTTTACGCAATAGACCATAGAGTTCATTATGCCATGCATATGCCACTCGTGACGCGCGCGCCACTTTTGCAGTCACAGTTAGGGCGTGTTCCCATTATGTCGTGACGACAGATAGTCATGCAGTTTAGTGTCGTGGCGTGTATATTTAAACGGAGTTGTTCAAATATCGTCGCTTAAATACTAAACGGCAGCATGTCAAAAGTTCACTTTTTTACAGGAGAGGCGATCAAAGTTTGCGACCTCATTTTTTAACATTTTAATATTGTTTTAAATATCCATGTATTTATACTCAAAAGATGCGTATTTTAAGGTTCTATAAATTTGTAAACACAGATACAACTCACAAAAGGACTATTTAACTCAAAAGTTAGCCACGAAAGTGCAGAATGCCAAACAGGCATTTGGGTAATTCCGTTGTTTATAATGCTGGTGTCTTCGTGTAGTATTAAAGTTTCACCGTTTTTAAACATATTTTTGCAATAAAAAACATTTTGGAATTTTTTTGTGATGCGGCGGCTTAGCATATAAGCGACGATATAGTACAACACGATTAACTGTCGTTCACGACTTTTTTGACGATATGACGACGAACTGTCGTGACAATGGGAATAGCTAGAAGTCGTCTTGACGAGAAATAAAATGTCACGATAAAAACGTGACGACACGGATAATCGCAGATTCAAACGATTCCGTCGTGCCAACGGTCAGGCGATTGCCGTGAACCGACAAATTGTCATTACGATCTAGTGGGAACAGCTAGACACGACAGTCATTCAACGATAAAAGAAACGTCCACGACACAGTCACGACAGATAGTCGTGATAGTCGTCAGTGATAAATAAAACGTTACGACATGAACGCGTCCTTCGTGAACTAACAATTACTGAAGCGCCGCAGACGCCTAATTTGAAGACGCCCTTAAATGTTAAAAATAAAGATACCTATGAATTACATATGACCAAACAATATTCATAAATTCACGCACAACTATTGATAGTCCTCGACAACTAGTTGCAATATCGAAAGAGTTATCCACATAATATTATCGTATATAAGAACAGCGGTTCCCGAAATTCAAGAGAATTAAATTTAAAAAATCAGTTGCCCCAAAAACACTGTACAGCACCTACCTATGCAATAATCGATATTCAAGGATGCATTAGTATTGCTGTCCATCAAACAATATTACTTTATCTACACACCTATCACAAACTTTCTATGTGTTCAAAAACCGCAAATTACGACCAGCATAAAGATAAACTGTTTTGTTAGAACAAATTTCTTATCTGTGAAAATGTTATTATTGCTTCGTAATAACATCGAATTCGATGTTATTATTACATTCAAATTTCGAACATCTCTGAAAAATAAAACAATATAATTGGACCTCAATTCTAATATCAGTTGAGATGAAGTTTTATTCGAAATGAAATGTCAATAGTAAACAATTTTGACAATTTCACGCGTTACTTGATATCGAATGATATGATAGTTGGGGCCGATTCTAGTTTATCGATGAATTAAAAATAAAAACTACGGGTGTGTGACATGCGTGAGAAAAGTTTTTATTTGCCGCCATTTCGCCAGTCGTAACATGCGGTTCCTGAACATATCACAAAGAGCTTATAATAAGTGTGTAAATCTTATTGTATGTAACTGTACATAATTAGGCATTAAAACACACGTCAGATGTTTAGAAACTACTATTTTAATATTAATATAATGTAATAATTATGAGGATATCCGCTGCCCGAAGCGGGACCCGCGCTTGGTTTCCGTGATCCATTGTGTGGACCCGCCACCATGTGAATTCCCGCACTGATAGACCGTGCGAGTATAAAGTATGTTAAGATGGATTATATTTATTAATTGATCATCTGGTAAGATAAATATATCTTATAATCTAATAAATAGCATCATAATCATCAATAGATATGTATTTACGAGACTAATTGTACACGTAAGAAAAAATGAAAATGAATTATTGCAAAGTAATGAGTGTTTTAAATGATTATCCAATTTAATACATTACAAAGCTTAAAAATAAGTTTAATATAAATAAATAGAGGTTTATGGGCCTCATACAAAGGCTCAAGGTCAGTCTGCGGGCAATGGAGAGAGCGATGGTCGGCGATTTTCGGTATTTCCCTACGTGATAGAATCAGAAATGAGGAAATCAAAGAATTGCTCAGCTAAAGTGACAGTGGGCGGGGCACATTGCTAGGAGAACCGATGGCCATTGGGGCGGAAAGGTTCTTCAATGGCGACCGCACACCGGACGACGCTCAGTGGGTAGGCCCCCCACAAGGTGCACTGACGATCTGGTAAAGGTCACGGGAAGCCGATGGATGCGGGCAGCGCAGGACCGATCGTTGGGGGAGGCCTATGCCCAACAGTGGGCGTCGTATGGCTGAATGATGATGAATAGTTTATCAACAAATTACCTTGGGAAATGTTTTGTTTAAGTAAGTGACACAATAGGAGTTCATTTTTTACAGTGTGACAATATAGCTTCACTGAATTTGAAAGAAACCCGTTTGTTCCCGCAACGTCGAGCCATGTTACCCGGCAGCTGGCATCTACAATTTTTAGAATTTAAACATTAATCTGAATAGCGCATGCGACCTAATCCATTCGACGTACAGTTTTTAGAAGATGTAATTTTTACGCCTGCTGAGGAAGCTAGCAATGTTGAAATACTTGGGCACAGCGTTTAAGATATTGCTATACTCCTGAGTGAACTCTTCGGGGTGATCGATCAGATGCGAGTGGAGCACAACGTCCATAATGGGCTGAGATTGCGCAGACGTAGGAACCTGGGAATAGAAACAGTAAATATTCTTTTTCGTAAAAATTATAGCATTATGCCGTTAATGGTAAAGAACATTTCGCAAAAATATTGATTGAATGATCGTAGGGGGAAGCGCGGCAGATTCGTACACTATGTTTTTTAACTTTAATTTTGGGCTAATAAATGAAATTATAATGAATATTTTTCTACCTAATTGATGACGTAACTAATAAACATTACTAATTTAATCTTTTCTTTCATAAATAGTATTGAATAATTGAAAATTTTAATTTGTACAAAAAATGGGAACTGTCCAATTCTGCCTTACCTGTGGGGTACTCTGATACATCGCTTGGGGCACTTAGAATGTGTGAATCGACGTAGTGTGCCATTCCTGGTTGCCACCTATTATCAGCACTAGGTGAACTGTTCATAAAGTATGCCGCTATATGTGCCTCCGCACTTGCTAGATCAAGACTTCTTTCTAGGGCACCATTTGTAAAGTGTTCTTTGTAATGTAGTCTTGGAAGTAGGAATACAGGCGGAAGAGCTGACTATAGCGGAAAATGTCACTAGTTCACCTCTTTACCATAACTTGTTGAAACAGTTTTTATACATTACAATATTTTTTCTACAAAATAACTAATATAAGCACTTTGATACGTACCAAACTGCCCCACTCACTACTGTATAAAAGTACCCCACCGGCCAGTTTAGAAAAAATTATTTATTTAATAAAATATTATTATATATTCTCTCAGTCACATCCAATTCTTATTGAAAACACTCGTTTACCCTGTAGTAAGACAAAACCCTGTAAAGTGAACAAAACTGCAGTGGCTCTAACGACACCTCATATGTCATCCATCAAACCATTTAAGCTGTGGGAACAACGTCAAAAAGAAATAGACATACATACATACACTTAAAAACATGACCCTTCCGCAGTCGGGCAATAAAAAGTTATTTAGCAAAAATAAGCGGACCACGAGGTGAGGGCTTTATTAGATCAACCGTATCAAATCGTTGACATGGAGTCCCATCAATCAGCTAAAGAAAATAACACGAACCCTCAGTCTGATGTCATGATTTTGTAACGGGACGAACAAGTCGTGGTGTCAGGAGGTAAGCGACCGCTTGTCCAATGTCCATAACAGTTGCAGTGCCGCTGAGAGCTTTAAATCGCGAAGATCTGAGGGGCACTGCCACTGCACTCGTCACCCTGAGACATCGTTGACAAGTCCCATGGCCACCCTTACCCTTCAAAACTGGATCGCAGTAATGCTAACATCACTGCTTGACGGCAGAAATAGGTATGGTACAGTACCTACTTCCCCGGACGAACACTTTCACAACCAGCTCTGGGTACTGCTGCTAAAGTGTACATAATGCATAGCATGAATTAAGACAAAAGAACGTTTGAACGTTGTTTCGTTTTACAGCTTAGATACCTATACTACAAATTATACTTACTGATACTGTAACACTAAACTGCATTGGTGCAAACACTTCACTGTAAGTAGCTATTGAATGGTATATTATATAGACAGGGCGATCGTTTTGTATGTATGACGACTTGACCGGAGAGTCGAAAGTCCATGAAGTCAAGTTGACGTTCTCGCGAGGCCAGATCGTTAACGAGTTGTGGTCTGGGCCTGGAATCATTCGAATTATTGGCATTGAATAATTTCAGTAGAGAGTACTAAACAAACCAACCTCAAAAGTAATTCACCCCTAGTTTGCCACCCTTAGAGGTGGAATATTTTCTTTAAATTTAAATGAGACCACTGTTGAGGTACCCTCTTTCACAAACTATCATGTAACATACATACGAAAAGGAAAATATAGTCGAATTGACAAACCTCCTCCTTTTTTGAAGTCGGCTAAAAATATACCTATAATTGTAGTGTCTCTTATACGGGGTGAAATTTAATTCTTTCGATAAGAACAACATAATTATTATTAGCTCTTCCATTGACTCGACCTCGGTGCTCTAACGGTTTACATTGTGATGAGCGCTGGATGCGGTAGTCCCGGGTTCGGTACTCGGTAGGACCAATTTGGGAAACTTTTAAATTGATTCTGATCTGAGTATTCTGAGAAGTGCCTCATAGTGAATTCCGTTGCTGTGGAAGGTACTCATAATACAGGGTATTCCCGAGTTTGAGACCAAGCAATTGGTGTGGTTGTACATTTCAATCTACACTTTCTGAGTTTGCTATGAGTATAAATACAATGTTTCTGTAAGGTTAGATACATCTCCAATCTGCTGCTAAATGTGATACTCTTTTCTGAAGACGATGCTCAAAAAAGTTCTTACCGATCATAATGAAGTCGAAGGTGCAGACATTTCCGTTGCAAATCCTGCTGCTGAGACTGATCGTGTTATCGGGCTCGAACGGCGCCGGTGGACCCGTGTACATGAACAAGCTGTCCACTCTGCACCCATCAATTAATTGGCGTTAATATCTATATTCAATAATAATATACATAAACGGTCGGAGGCTCCACGTCTTTAAATATTCAATTCTAAGATGATCTGCATTTTTTTTATTATACCAAGTGACAAGTCGTGCGCCTGGTGTTAAATGACACGCCTGTCCATAGCAGTTGCAGTGCCACACAGAGCTTTAAATCGCAAAGATCTGAGGGATAAGTAGATATTGCCATTGCGCCTGTCACCCTGAGACATAAGTTGATAAGTCCCATGTGCCTGTAATTTCACCAGCACCCTTAGGCGCTAATCAAAACCTTACACTGAGTTCTGAGAGGTTTTGAAGGAACTCAGTAATGCTCACATTACTGTTTGGCGGCAGAAATAGGCATGATGGCAGTATACTTCCCTGGACGAATTCTTTCACAAGGGGATCTACTGCTACTGTCTTTTATAAACAACTAACCACATTTCTTTTATTAGATATAATGTTTTCATATTCGGATAAAGCAAACAAAATCTAAACGTGCAAACGCTGCCTGTCACCGCTCCGTCTCCTTTCTCCCATTCACTCACTCTCATTCATCTCATTCTTCTCCTCTATCTTGACACTAATTTCTTACTAGCGGGCACTAACGTCGCGCCGCCGCCTCGCGCCAAGTTTGAGCCGAGACCCCAAAACTTTTTGATTTTATTTATTAAAAGTAGGCTTTATTTAACTTTTTAAAAGATATAGTCAAGAAGACATAGTCATAGCATAGATAATATTAAAATATTGTTTCATAGATACGCAAAGTCAAAGGCGTTTTAATGCTTAAAAAATATTATTCTTTATATAAGATTTTTCCGACATGCTTGACATTTTGTAAATGTAACAATAGCACGATTAAATTATAGCGTTTTAATTATTTTCTATTCACATCCTTGGTAATAGTGTAATAAGGCCATCTGCAAAATGATAACTTTTAAAGAGATATATAGATTCTTGGAACGAAATTGTTAGATAACTTTTTATGATACATAAGTGATTATAAAATTTCACATATATATAATTTGTTCCTATTATTTTTATAACTTTCTTGTGATAAAAACACTTATGACGTATGATCACAAGTTTAGTGGCCTTATTACAAATCAAGGGTTCGAATATGCCTTTTTCTTAAATTCCTCGCAAGAGCGACGAAAAACATTCCCTACATTTTTCAATACAGCCATAGTCGATAGTGAGATGAAAAAAGGCCCGAGGTTTTTATTTGGGGCATTATAGTCAAGTTAGCCTGCATGCAATCATACATCATATTTACGTGCAAGTGTGATGAAAAACATTGTCTGTTTCACGGGCGGGACTGGAATAACGAACCTCGACTCCAAAATCCCTTTATTACCGTCCTTAGTACACAATGTACTATTATGTCAAACGAGCAGAGCAGCATTTACAAACGAATTATGAATCTGTCCCTCTGTTCGTAATTGTCTACTTACCGCCCTTGTGACACAGTGTACTGTAACGACGGTCTCCGCTGACTTGAGCTAAGTAAGCAAAACCAACAGAAAAATAAACTCACAGAGGCTCGAACCACACGCCAAAGAGCGGCAAATTGCAATGTACATAACGTTCACAGTCTTCGCGGAAGTCCAATCGATACTCCAAATTAATGCCTTTCTCACTCAGTGCGGGAAGCACCCTCGAGGTGGAGTACGTGTCGTGCTTCGTCACAACGATACCAGCTACGCGTTCTGTTTCCATGTTGTTGTAATTGTACGATATTATTTCCGAGTGCTGGGAAAAGATATTGAAATTCTGTTAAACATTGGTTGCCAACGCCCGCCACAAGCTCTTTAGGGAACATGGGTCCGTATTATAGCCCTTAAGTTTAATATTAAGTTCGTTAATTAGTGGTAATATCTACTGTTGGGTAACTTTTCGAAAAATTTGAAATGATGGAAATTTTTCCGGAAAGTTCAGGAAAAATTGGAAAAATATAATTTCAAAAGCTCATATGTTATGTTTTACGTTTAGAAATATCTTTTGAAGTTTTATTTAGCGTGAATTATAAAATAAAGTACTTAAAAAAACGAAATTTAATATAATTTCACAACTTCGAAAAAAAACTTTTTTAATGGACCTATCGTTTTCATTCAGTAACTTCATATTTCGACAGGTTTCAACGTCAAACGGAAATATGGAAAATTAAAGGAAAAATATCCGGAAAAATATTTATTTTTCTGAAAACTATTTTTTTCTGAAAAATATATTTTTCTGAAATTTATGATTTTTTCAAAATGGAAATCTTTTTATGACCCAACACTAGCGGTAACACACCGCGCGTGTCATGTGTTACGGTTTGACTCATTTACTTATGAATGCAATCTAAGGCTCGACTTCAAGTTACGACTGTGCAATGGCAGAGTTGTTAATGTAGGTAACGTGTATGGCGCTCCTAAGTAGAATGTATTAAACTCGCGATACTCACAAACCAGTAATGCCTTTGCACGGATGGCCCCTCGTCCTGGTACGGACTGAAAGGAATGAACATGAGCACTATGCAGGCGATGGCTACGGGCGCCACTACAATCCACAGGTGCTTGCGTGAGAATAGCAGTTCGATGCCCGACTGAAACAAACATTGGAGAATTAGTAAAACCTATTAACTTGAACACTTGAATGATATATCAATTAAATCCTAATTCATCAATTTTACACACTATATTAGGTTTTAATTAATTTGCACCCTTTGTGTAATAAGGCCATATAAGCAAAATGTTTAAAAAGGTTCTAAGAATGAAATTAGTTACTGTACTGCCCTTACTGCTCTCATCTTACTAAGCATGTCCAGTAAATTCATATTTTAAATATCCTTTATTCATTAAAACAAATTTTTTGATAATATAGTCTAGAAACCGTCAAAGCAGTAGTTTACTTTGAATGAAAAAAAATTGTATAGGAAATGAAACTATTTTTCCGGATTTAAATCGCGTATATTTGTTTTTTCAAACAAATCGACGTTTCGGACCCTTTACAGGTACAAAGTAACATTCCAATTTATGCTACATTACGTTTTAAAATTAAAAATAAGGTATTAATTAGTAACTTTTGTAACTATAGTGAAAAATTACGGTGGTTTGCATTAATATTAGACATAACTGGTTGATGACTTTAGCACCTCAGTCAACCGTGACCATGGGACATGTAAAGGGCACGAAACGTTGGTTTGTTTGAAAAAATAAATATACGCGATTTAAATCTGGAAAACAGTTTCATTTCCTATGTGTAACAATCGCAAAAACCTCGATAATATTTGTAGTTCAGTTGCAATTCCGGTTCAGTATTAATTGGCGACGAGAGGTGGGCAGTGGGTTAAAACCAAATCAACCCGCCTGGATTTTAAACGGGTTTTTTTCCCAAAGCACCGAGTTATAATCCGTTTCTGCCAAAAATCGTGGGCAAAACGGCGAATACGGAATTTTCTACAATTCCATATATATTACAAATTTCGATATAAAAAATCTTTTTTAGTTGAAATAGAAGCATCCGTCAGAATACCTACCTTACAAATCTGTGGATTTTCACTACTAAGGATTTACATTATGATTCGATTTTTACGAAAATCGATTCCTTGAATCGATGCATGCGATCGAACGATTTTTTTGTATGGATTTATTTCAATGCAATTTTCAAGCGAATCAATGCAATAGAAAGGCAAATCGAATCATATAGATCAGAAAGCATTAAACATTTTGTAATAATATATTATCATTCAAGAACGAAACACGATTTACAACAAATATTTAGTAGTAAATACTTTGGGCATTAAACCTGGCTTAATTAAAACATGGTTGAAACCCCGGAGGGTACAGATTGCAGTTTATTTTAAACATATTGCCCAGTGTTGCCAAAAGTGTGAGTTGCAATATAAATAGGTAGGTACCTACGTTGTTTTCAAGGAAAAAATTTCGGAGTTTTCACAACTAGGCGGAACAGCTTCCTCTACTGAAGCGCAGCTGGAAGCTGATGCGCAGAGGGGTACTTTTTTGCAACATACTTATACATACATATTATATGGAGTGTAATTATGCAAGTTTGTTCGATTATAATTAGACAGTTATAGGAAATGTCGTTTTTTTTATTACTAAATATATAAAAATCCGCTGCCAATCAATTCAGAATTTAGGTCTTATGTGCTTTATAGTGCGCCATGTGTAACTTATGGACACGCCAATTTAAGGTTAGGGCATGCCTCTATATTGCACCGGTCATAGTCCTTTCACATGTACATAATTTGTTTTTATACTTAGTATTATTTGTATATTATTCATGTGATAAAACATTTTTTACATATACTTTATTATACCAAAGATACCTACGAATTTGAAGCTGGTTCCAAATCTAAAACAAGACAATTGCTTTTGTTTAAAGACCCGCTAGGGCACTGTTTTGCAACAGAGTATTTTATTATTTTAGTGGCATTATAATAAATTATATTATTTTATGTTTCAAGGGATCCTAGAAGTAACAGTACACTTCCAGTCTGCACTGGAAAAGAACAAAGACTCACGATAGTGTACAGGACGATGACGGCAATGCCCGTGTTGATGATCGCAACTAGGTAGTCGGGCGTGTCAGATGCGTTGCGCCCCATGACCGGCAGCATCATCGCGCAAAAACGCAGCGCCAGCGTCAATATGAACATCGTAGATGGCAGCGACCACAGCGTCTCCATCAGCAGGTGCTGCCATGCTGGGAAAACGTCAAGGTGCTTCGTGAAAACAACCTGATTTGGCTCTCCCGCCATCATGGCTTAAAAGTTAGCCGAGTTACATGGTTAGCAGCCCGACCCAGTAAATTTGAATTTAAGATGAAACGTCAAAGCACGGTTGGGAGAAAGCGTGTAGGAGACCATAATTCGTCTCCCCACGCCATTGAGTCTTTTTTAAACATAATAATTAAACACACTCAGAGCGTGGGCGTTAGTTCGATTATTACGACATGGCTGCAAATAATAAAGGAGAATTGGATATTACCGCGTATTTGAGAATTCCGTAATTCTGTAAGAGATCATACAAGTTCGTCATCAATGATATTTATGTACCTACTAGCGTTCTTTCTTCGCTAATTCCAGTTTCAAAGGAGATAAGGTGAATGCCACCAATAATTTTGTAATGTTTATGGATAAACCAATCAGAACGGGAAAACAAACTAAGATTTGTAAAAACACTTTTTACAAATCTTCCTTAAACATTCGTGGAAGTAGTTACAATTTTGTTGAAAAGTATTTTATTATATACAGGAAATGAAACTATTTTTCCGGATTTAAATCGTATATATTTGTTTTTTCAAACAAACCATTTATTCATTTCCTATGTATAACAATCGCGAAAATCTAAGAACTCGATATTTTATTATATATAATATTAATGTCAACATACAGAACGATAATAAAGGGGGTTATGATGATGTTATAGTATCTATTACGTACCTTCCAGTCTAACGTATCTGATGACGGTCAAAGACGCCAGAGACATGACCGAAATGATGAACAAAGGCACAGTGACAAAGTACCGCACTGTCATAGTATTTGGTATGCATGTCATAATAATTAGTATGACAGCTAGAATCAATCTTGTTGCTGCTTGGGCTTGCATTGCACGGATACAGCGGTTGAAGCTACACTAAAAAAATGAAATTTAGTTACATTTAATGAACATCGAGTATATTACGGATCATACCAAAAATGTATTGTTATTGGCAGTTTACAAAGAGCATGGAGAGGAAGACAGCGAATATATTATGTACTGCAGACGGTGGAGAGAAACAATAATAGAAAAAATAATATTTTCATTAATAAAATGTATAAAAAATCATCCACATTGACTAAAATGCTTTAGTATGATGTCGGTTATGTTACGCGCGGTGATGAAGGACATGGCAGCAGTCATGTGAGGAGATTCTGAGTAGTTACACAAACTCCACCATTCGCATTTTGAAATTATAGAGTCCTTTCACAAAATTATTCACGTTATCGTGTCCGCAACATAATAAAATATCAAGTGATACCTTCTTGGTTCTCCAGGCGTCAAAAACCTGTGCGACGCAGACGGCCGTGATGACGTACGGCAGCCAGTAGATAGGGACCACCAACCAAGCTTGCGCCAAGTACCTGGACGTTAGGAGATTCATTTACTTCCGATCATAGTCTGTCGGCTCTTTGCTGGGCACGGACTGTTTCATACTGAATTTAATTTGATTGTCGAAGTCGGTGAGTACTGTAACTGGGTCGTAGCTCTAATGCGTAGCGAGAGGTACATCTAAGAATATAAACTGGGATTAACTTCAAAGATTTGGTTTATTTCACATTTTTTACATATTTCACTTTCAGGTTAGGATGTAATATATGTCAAAACCTTCTGTTTTCTTATTTCAATCCTTCAAAAGCATTCTAAATACAAAAACTATATTCACTAGCTATATTCAGCCAGCAATTCTACTCATAGAGTAGAGCCTAGACTACAGTACACAGTTGAACACTCTGACAGGTTCTGACTTCATTTCTCGATTGTATCAGTTTAGGTGCCTCATGTACATTTTGTCTGGTTTGGATGTTCTGGACAGTGCCACGGATATCCGTTACTTTGGTACTCATAGTACAAGACGTTTCCTGATTTGAGACCAGCTAATTGGTGCGATTACCCGCTACATTTATTATCAAGGAAAAAAATGTATACTTACAATGGTAACTAAAAAAAAAAATGGTACAAATGGTAGTAAACACAATCCTCATAAAATGTAATTTTGTATTGCGTGATTATGAATTGCATACTGTAGTATGCAGCACATAATATTTGCTTGCCAACAAGATTGGATACTTTGATTCGTGTATTCTACCTAAGAAAATGAAATATGTTATAGCTATTTATAAGCATGCATTTGGAGTAGATTATTTTGATGAAAATAAGGCACATGGCACTTGTCAACTTATGTCTCAGGGTAACGGGCACAGTGGCAGTGCCCCTCGGATCTTTGCGATTTAAAGCTCTGAGTGGCACTGCAACTGTTATGGACAAGCGTGTAGCTTACCATCAGATGCACGACTTTTTCGTGCCATCACTTGATATTATAAAATTAAAAAATTAAAAATAATATTACCTAAGTTGAACGGTAGTGGCGACCATGATGGGCACAAAAATGGTAACGACCAGCATTCCGGCCAACATTGAGAGTAATCGTCCTAATACCGTAAACAGAAGTTCTTGAACCGTTGCAATACCTGAAATTTGATAATAAATTCCAGCCAGTCATGCTAACAACCTAATGATTATGTGATGTGTTACTAATACAGAAAGAGGTGCTATTCTATATTCGCTATTATGTTACGTATTATTCGCCGGTGTTCCACAACCGGCAATAGCAAGCTTTACAGTGTATGCTGTCGATAGGTTAAGAAGAAGTACTGTTTTACATAGATGTCGGGCGACGTTCGCCGTGTTGAATTTTTGCTGAGATGTTATTATACAAAATAAACAAAACAAGCTGAAAAATTTTCAATGGTAACATGAAACCAAATATGCTTGGAACTATGATTTTTTTTTAACGATGTGTGAAGTTGAAACGGTTTTTATTGATTTAGTTGGACCTCATACTTTGCTTTCAACGTCCTAGGTGCACCGTCGTCATCACATCTTAGAAATCACACCTTGACCTCGAATTAGGCAGCAAAAGCATACTAGCTCACTTGGACCGACGACCCACACGTAGTAGGCGACACTGAGGCCGCCAAAAATTGCCACCAGCAGGTCCACGGCCACCGACGCTCCGAACGAGTACGACACCAGGAACCAGTTTAGGAAATCGAAGTACACGACTGCAGACGGCTCGATCTAAGAATAGGTCAAACTTACATTAGGACAACTGTTTATTTATTTATTTATTTGTACAACTTACACTTACAGTACTTATAACTTATAACATGTAAGTCATAGTCACAAAAAAGGTTGCAAAAAAGGTTGAGTCGATCACCGGCCAAAGATAGGATGCGGAATTTGGATCACAGAGCTTTGGGCGGTGACCGCCTCCAAATAGTAACCAGCGAATGTTAGAAATTTTGATTCAGTTTTGCTTAGTGATTCAATTATGGACAATGCTTCGAAGAATGGTGTGCGTATTAGTGTCACTGTGCGGGTCAAATGAAAATTGAATAGAGGGTATTTGCGCTGTCGAAGGACGTAGCGTGAGATTGGCGGGATAAAAAAGAATTTGAGCCAATAGAGGACGGTGTAATTATACATCCTCTTATTAGGTTGAAAATATATTTTAGTAGCGCCAGTTTTCGCCTGATCTCAAGCGATCTATACATATAAGGATAGTACCCATAAAGTTTACTATACAAATACCTCAAAAATTATTTCTGGATTCGTTCTAACATTGCTATATAGAGTTTATTGTGGGGATCCCACACTGCGCACGTATCTTCCAATTTACTTCGAACAAAGGCGTTATATAAATTACAAATTGCCTGTCGATGGTCAAAAAACTTAGACTGCCGCTTGATGAAGCCAAGACTTACAATAATTTAAAAGAATTCCAATGCCTAACTCACTCCTGACTTGTGGCACTCTAGATATTGAAAAGCCTTTCAACCGGGTGGATTTTCAGAAAGTGAAATATTTCATTTATGTTCTATTTAGTGTCTTTAGGAACTCGAGTTTATTAACGTTCATATTTGAACTAAACAGTAATAGAATGTACGCCTATTGCCCCAGCGTCCGCCAGAATACTGACTTTAGTCTCTAGCTCCGCGTCGCCCGCGACCGCGGGCACGAGTGCCAGTAGCATGTTGCCGGCATTCTGGATCACGCCGGTCTTCAACATGTCATGGTGATCGTAGCGCGTGTGGTACACGTGGCCCCACTTCATGAAGGCGATGTCGAGTCCTGGAAATGGATGCAAGATTGTAATGCGTCGAGAATGCTTGAGAATGATTCACTTCGAGATAATTATTGGTTGCAAGAAGAGAACTGCATGTATACTCAATGCAGACAATATAACGGACAATATAGACACAGTCACAATGACTGCTAAACTTGTAAACATTATTATTTTTATGGTATACAAACCTCGGGACGGGAAAAACGGGACAAGACACATTAAGTCTCTTGTGCCATTAAACGATATTATGATGCAAAAAGCGAAAAGAAATAGTTTCATATTATTATAAACATAAAAAATGACACAACATCTTCCTAAACATATTACAACATTGCTGTCATACAATAAATTTAAGTTCCTGTTAAGCTATTTCCAATGATATAATTATAAACAATTATCTACTATTTAACAACCACTTATTAATAGCACTAAAATTTCCCATTCTATTGTCAATTTTAAACATTTATATATCTATGCGAGGTCCACTGCATTGTATTTCACTACTTATTCTTATCAAGTATTTGTTCTTACCATGAAAATTTCCAAAATCCCTCCAAATCCTAAAATCTGTGTCGGAGGGAATGATGCCGTTTGCAAACATGAACTCTCCTATGCTTTGGGCGTTCGGACGGTTCACTACGCGCTTGTATATGCTCAACAGTCGAGTGTCTGACGCCTGGGAAAAACCAATATAAATGGGTAATTTTTATTAATTTTTAAAACCTACTGGTTCTCACAAATATAAACGCGAAGCTAGGAAGAAGAATACTTTGAAACAAGTATTTTTTTATAAAAATGAATGTTTGTTTATGCCATCGAAACATTAGAAATTAGGTATGGAAGAATTATTCCCTTAAAGAAACGGTGTGCTCTACGAGCACTCGTTTGGGAGTTTTGTGACCAAGTGACGGGACAAATAAGTCGCCTGTCCATAACAGTTGCAGTACCGCTCAGTGCTTTGAATCACAAAGATTTGAGGGGCACTGTCACTGTGCCCGTCACCCTGAGACATAAGTTAACAAGACTCATGTGCCTGTAATTTTACCAGCACTTACCCTTCATAACCGGAACGAGTAATGCTCACATTACTGCTGCTGTAAGGTGGCAGTACTTCTTTGGACGAACTCTTTCACAAGGAGCTCTACTGCTACTAAATTTTGAAGTGATTCGAATAATGTGACTTTTCACAAATATCAATTCTTGTTTTATGTAGGCACATAGGGAGCACTATAAGTTTCCGGAACTGGCCACTTACACAAACAATATTTAAAAAGTAATTACAACATTTGAAAATGGAACTCTTTGGCTCACAACAGCTCAGCGGAGCTTCGCTTGGCTTCAAACTGCTTTTGGCGATGAAGCACCATGCAAGACGACTATTTATATAGCTGGTTTGCAGAGATCAACTGCGATCGTGTGAATCTTAGTGACGAATTTCGTGATGGTCGCCCGTCCACTGCTGTGACCTACAAAAATATCGATGCTGCGCGCCGTATGATCAAAACAGACAGGCATGTGACAGACCGTAAGATTCGGCATCTTTAGGCATAGGCATGAGTCAAATATAATCAATACTACACAAACATTTGAGTGTGAAAAGGCTGTGCTCCCGGTGGATCCCACACAATTAGACTGAGGCTCAAAAAACGGATCGCGTCACTTGGTGCAATGCCATGCTTACCAGATTCAACGAAGGGGCGTCAAATTTGGTATGGGACACAGTAACAGGTGACGTAACATGAATTTATAGTTACGATCCCAAAACAAAGCAGCAAAGCGTACGGGTCTTTCGAGATGAGCCGAAACCAACCAAAGTGGCGCTATGATTGCTTCTTTTTTTAATAAAACTGGACACGTGGCTACTGTTGCTTTGGAGAATCGTTGTACCGTGAATAGTGATCGGTACACGACGATTTGTTTGCTGGAAGTTATTGACAAACTCCGTAAAAATAACCGTAAACGCCGTGTCATATTGCACCACAATAATGCCAGTTCTCATTCGGCCAGACAGACGAATGAATTTTTGAAGGTGAATAAAGTTGACCTTGTGAGTCATCCCGCGTACAGTCCTGACCTGACACCTTGTGACTTTCATTTATTTCCAAACATTAAGAACCAGTTACGCGCTCAACGATTTTCATCACCTGAAGAGGCTGTCGAAGAGTATGAAAAATATGTTTCAGAGATTGTCACGGATGAATAGCATAAATATTTTCAAAATTGGTTCATTCGTGTGAAAAAGTGGATTCACGCTAACAGATAATATTTTGAGATACAATAAATTCATTTCTGACCATTTATAATATTTTTTTCTTATTCATTCCGGAAACTTATAGTGCACCCCACGTACATACGTCAGTTCAGCAGAATTCTAAAAATCAGTACCTAGTTTAAATCTTTAGGTTTCTCGAATTTTATGAAGATGATGATGTAGCAGCATTGAGAATCAAACAATTTATACCAAAGTTTCAATGATTTTACTACCCGTACCTGAAAAATAATTGGTTTTCCGTTCATACCGGCAGAGTCTAAATTCACCACGTTAGTCACACCTTTAGCCCATTCGTGTTGCAGAAAAGCATGGCTACCCTGTAAAATAATTAAATATGAGTAAAACATTGTGTAAAAGGGCCTCATTTATAGAAAGACGCTATTGATACACGAGACAAAGCCCTTGCAGTGTCCCTCGATATTTCAAACGCATTTGACAAAATTTGGCACAAAAGCCACATTGGCAAACATCCATTGTACGGAATTGCTACCGGGCTTTGTAACTGGATAGTGGACTTCTTGGGGGCAAGTCGTTATAGGTTGATATCGAAGGCTATTCGTCTAATCTATAGGATATGAATGCCAGAGTTTTGGAGGGTTTCGTTCTCTCAGTTACTCTCTACTTAGAAAATATGGATACACAGATACTAACCCAGGTACAGATAACCATTTAATGTCCAGAAATCAAATAGATTTTTAAAAAATACTTAAATTTAATTAATTTTTTATGAGCTTTCCGAAAGTTAATGTATTCCAGTAGCTACTGTTAACATGTCAACCTCTTTCATTATCGAGCCATCTTTCTTTTAAATATATAACATTAGATAAACACATGAATGTCCAAAAAACTTACATGTAGAGCCATTTCTTCAGCACCGTTGAATAAAAATATGACGTTGTGCCTGAGTTTTTGCGAACGCCGCGATAATTTACTCAGAGTTTCTACCATCGCTGCGCAAAAGATGACATTGTCCGAAGTCCCTGGAAATGATTAATGGAAAAACATGTAGCATGTTGCAATAAGCAATGTGGTATGCATAAATGTGTTGTATGTTTTATGGCGTATCATCAATTCTGAATGCGATGCGTGTAAACTTTAACAGATTATTATGCTTACCTAATAATCTGTTAAAGATTACACGCATCGGATGCTTTTGCGTGAGCAAATTTGTTTGTTAACTGTCTTGGACTGTACATTTAAAAAAATGATCTACATACTTTACTTGAGTATAGTCTCTCTTTACAAAAAAGAGATTAAGTTAAACGCAGTCAAATGGGTTCACTTGCCTTGAAGGCTTCTTAAAAGGTTCACTTGCCTTGAAG